GGGGCAGCGCTCCGCAGGGAATCGCCGCCCGGCCCGCACCGCGCTCCCCTGGCGCAGCACAGCCCCCGCCCGGCGGGAGGATGCGGGACCGGGACCGGGACCGGGACCGGCGGGGCAGAGGGCATTGCTCTTTTCACCAAAAACCCCAACAGCCATGAATGAGCACAAGCCCTTTAGGAACAGAAATCCTAGCACATCCTCTGGGTCATCCACATCCTGATGCTTCAAGGTTCAAGTCTAGAGCTGTGGTGGTTTGGGTTTTTTTAACTTGGAGAGGAGGAGTAGCGCTTCCCCTTCCTGCCCACACAGACACACGTGTTTCCCACGCTCGGCACCCCTGCATCCAGCCGGGAGGGGCTGGACTGGGAACCTCGCTGCATTTCCTGCAGGCCAACCGCCCCCCCGGCCTAAGGTCAGCAAACATCTGTAGCCTCAGTGTGGGAACCTGAGCAGCGTTACCGTCAAAGGACCAATGCAAACTCATCTCCTCCTAGGCGGAATTAATTATTTGTCCAAGACACTTGAGCATAATGCCATTTCTGAGACATCAAGGAGACATTCATAGCTGTTGAGAATGTCCCATAAGAAAAAGCACAACACTTGACTAAAGTCAAACCCATAGTAATTTCTCTTAAGTTTCTGCTACTACCAGTTAAAGGCTTGGGGTTTTTTACACTTTATCTAGAACTTAAATAAAAGTTTCCTGTTTGTTTTGTAGTGGTACATCCCTTGCAACTCTATTAAACAATGAGCAAGAACATTTTGTACTTTCTAATTCATACGTGACTTGAGTTGTACTCATTACATACAGCCAACATCAAATACAGCACTTGTTGATGAGTACTTACAGCTAGCTTTTATTACATACAGAACAGCCCAACATGTTCCTTTTAGTCTTTTTAGTGTTGGCATAAATTGTGTAATGGAAGGGAGAGGCAGATCATGCTTTGGCCGGTGTCAGCGCAAAGGTCAGGATGAAAGCTATCAGTTTTTAAGGTACATGATAAAACAAGATAATGGGCTTAGGCTAAGGCAATATCTCATTATTTCAGCTAGTATAGATATTTTAGAAAGTAAACACTTAAGGATGGGGAAAAAAGCCCTTATTTAAATCTAAACCAGAAGTAACAACTTCCAGCTGGAGTGGAACTAGAGAACAATTTCCTGAATTTCTTCAGGTATGAATGAGACAATCTGAGAGAAAAGGAAGGTGATACCTGTGGAATGGAGGTAATATTAGTAGGAGAATAAGAGAGGTGATACAGATAATTATCTCTTTGTGGCAAGGAAAATAATAGAGAAACAGGTAATTTCTAATCTCTAAAACACAGATAAGAGAGGTGGAAGGGAAATTGTAATATCACAAAAAAAAGTCCACAATTACCTGGAATCCACTAGCGTTGCCTGTGTCCTTAAGCTCCTTGCTATTCTGACACCATCGTGACAAGTGTTGGCTGTGGCCCTTCCTGATGGCCTTATTTCTGCTGTCTACTCTCACTGCTCCCATGGCATAGAGTGCTTTCATTCAGGTTGCCAGGACAGATACATGGCTTTACTGCAGTATTACTGCAAGGAAAGGAATTACTTAACTGAGTGGGAAGGCTGTATCTAGTGCTTTCCTCTGTTGCACAGCACATTTTTCGGCTGAAATGCTGTTGATGGACATCTGAAATTAGCAGATTTTGGAGCTGTACTCAATCATAGTCTTTCTGCCGCAGTATAGCTTTAATGGCAGTGGTAGACTGTGTATCAACAGAGTCCAGACTCTTGGAGCCATGAAATATTTCTGAGCTATCAAAAAAAAAAAGAGAGAAAACAAAAAACAACACAGGAAATGTCTAACTGTGCTATTAGCAATACACTATAACTCACTATCTAGTGGAATATATAACCACTGGGCAATTTTTTAATTCCTGTGAATCAAAACCATGAAAGGTCATAACCAAGAACCCTACACTGTAGAATACACAATATATGTGAGCAGTTATATTGCTATTTTATTTAAGACTGTATTTTTCAAGCTGTTTGATCTAAAAAGAAACTTCTTTGCCATAATAACCTCCTTCACATGTAAAAATAAGTTATCCAGATGATTTATTCAAGAAAATATTTGGTAATTTGTTAGCAGTGTTCTTTTATAACAACTAATTCTGTAACATTAAGGTTATATGAGCTTTTTACTGAGAGACAGCTTTCATGAGAATAAATTGTCCAGGCAAACATATCTACCATACTTAATTTTTTACCAAGTACTGTAAAGATCCCATACCACTCGGGGTCTTTATTATGAAAGCCACACTTAAATATACACAAAAGATCTTAAATATAGCTGCTGTGATGCAGTTCAAGGTGAAGGTTTTTTTCCCCCATCAAATATCTGATGCAGAACAATACAGGTTTTAATAAATAAACCAGTAAATTATGATATGATTAAGATATCTAAGTTATTCATTGTTGTGTATATATATATATAAACATCAGCATCTTTGACCCTTCCTTGGGTATTTGAATGACAGTGGGTTGATCCTTTGATTTTTTTACTCACTTGTAAACAGACATTTATTTTGTTTGTAAACAGCCTTTTTAAAAACAGTATGCAACTACTTAATGGAAATAAGCTAATCTACATGAGGAAGAGCTACAGTATCATTATCTTATTTTAGACGTTAAGTTAGCAGACATCCTCCAGCCAGATTAAAAAAACCCTTTTCATTATATATTGATCTGAGTTCCATGCAACTAGTTAACACACTGCATGTCGTTAACAGCATATTCCTAATTATTTCATTAAAGATGACAAATGAGCTGTAATATGGATTTTTTTATATCCAGTAAATAAGATATCATGTTCTTCTGCAAGAGCATGTAGAGCTAAAGATGTAATCACTAAAAACATGTTTTCATACGTTAAGACAGAGAAAATATTGATTCATGAGTATTTACAATCACCCATGTTTAAAAGCATTGCTAAGTTCTGTGTGCTTCATTTCATATTTCTATCAAGAATTGTACATTCTTTCCCTTAAACTTCTGCTTCTAGACATTTTACTGTGGCCTCAGGCTTGGTTTTGGACTCTTCTATCTTTTTCCCATTATTCTTTGTTTTCTTCTCAGGTGTTTTGTCATTTGACTTAGCCTCTTTGAGAGCAGTAGTTTCAACCATTTCTTTTTGCTGATTCTTGTTTGCAAATGGGAAGGTTTTCTTGTACCTTTAAACAGAAAAAAGGGATAGTAAAGCAGAAACACTGACATAGTTTGGTAGTATCACTCAAGAACTGAAGTGAAAAATATCTAGAATTAACTTTGCCATACTCAAGCAAAAGTCTCACAGAGAATAGTGGCGTGCTAGATCATTTGGCTTTTTCAAATTGTGCTTTTTAAAGAAATATTTTCCTGTTTTTTTTTTTAAAACAGACAACATATTCAGGATTCATGGTACATCATGATAAAGCTATCTGGGCTAGGATGTGAGAAATGCACACAACTTTTTGATATGATTCAGTGATGCACTGTGTTGAAGATCTTTTATGCATGACAATTGAGCTCAACAATTTTTTTTTTTTTTTACCACAATCATAGTCTAAGAATAAAAACTTACCTTGAGTCTGACAGAAAGAAACAAGAATAAAACTGCATAAACAGGCTTACATACAAACACTGCAGTGTTGCTATTTTGGCACACCTGGAAATGTTTCATGCTAGGCATGACTGACTAATCAAAAATATTAATCTTTGGTTCCTTTTCTAATGCGGGGAATGGCAACAGCAACAACAAACTCGATCTGCATAACAACGGGGCATAAGGTTTTGTTCTTTGTGTTACATTCTTATGTCATTATCACTTCTCTGCTCTTTATATATTTAAAACCTTTATTGGTTCTACTCTAGGTATTAACTCAGTCCAAGAGAATGGAAAAGAAAAAAACTTACTTTTTGATATAGCAGACTGCTAGAACAACTGAAATAATGAAGAAGATGACTGCTAGCACAAGAAGTGCAGTGGGGATACCTAGAGAAAAGAGTGAGATAAGCATACAGTTTTTCTATGCACTTAATTCTAACTTTTTAAAGGCTCAAGAGCATAAACCCAGGTTCTTCTAAAAAAATAGGCTAGTGTAAGAGGTACATACACATCAACTCAAGAATAGAGGTATTAGGAATCTCAAGAGGTTAGTTACTCCTACTCATTTTTTCGAGACTAAAACAGGTATTAAATCAATCCCTGACAGATGTTTGTCTAATCTGCTCATTGCAGGGTTCTTACAACCTGCCTAGAGAACATATTTTTGCGTTTAACTATCCTTACAGTTAGAAAGCTTTTCCTCATATTTAGTCTATTTCTCAGTTGCTGGATATTAGGGTTACTTATTCACACCTCATATCTCAAGAACACCTCCATGTTTGGAGAACAACAATTCTCCTTAACGCTTTCCTGGCTTCTTTTGTTTTTAAGAGCCTGCTGAGTTTTCCGTTACTTGGAGCAGATGGTGTTTGCTAAGACTTTCTCAGAAATGTGTTTACCCCAATCACATTAACCAGAATTAACTTCCACCATTTCATATTAAAATATTATCAAAAAGTGTAAAATAAGATCTTACTTCTACTTTAAAATTATTTTAAAATCCTCTGCCTTATAACCTTTGCTTTTGCAAAGCTGCAATGCTCCTATTCTGCCTCCAGGTACAGCTGTATCGACACGGATGCTGAGTAGCAAACAAAAACAGCAGTAAAGAGTTTTACCACTAACACCTATGCAACTAGTTCTTCCGATTAAATAGCTACCCTATATGGTCTTTACCTCCAAAGACAATGGCATCATTCTTAAAGGCAGTGTGGGAAGTGTAGTTAGGAGAGCCAACCAGTGAGAATTCCTCTGGCATTTCTGTAGTAGTCCCCTCTGTTGGTAATAGAGTTTCAGTTACACATATAACGCGAAACCTCATCTTTTTGAGGGATTTTTCTGACTCGGTCACATTGGACACTGCTGTGATGTTCTCAGTCAAATCAGAGCCTGAATATGCAGTCAAGTCCATTGGTGCACTCAGTGAAGGTAGTATGGTTGTAGCTGGATCTGGTTTACATGAATTAATGTGAACATCTGCAGCAGGGAAAGGAAATATGTAAGAGTTGTGTTGGATGTTAGTTTTGTACTTACTGTACACACACGTTTATTGAATTTGTTCCTCAGTCATTCCCTTCTGGAAATTATTATTTATTCATTCACAAAAGCCTTACCCAAATCAGGTGTGCCTGTTACAAAGATGTAGCTACAACCCAGATTATGCAACTTTTATCATTATTTACACAGTTAAACACCTTTTTGAGCAAGTGTGGTGCTCATTTTATAATTGCATACCAATGACAAGATTCTTCCTGAAAAGTACTTATATAATGCATATAAAACCCAATAATATCACCTCCTGCAGAGGAGGAGACTTAACTGCAGATCCAAGATTAAAAACTATTTCTATTTTATTATGTATATGTTCAAAACATATGGATGCACTGTTGGTACTTCGAATACTACTCTGACTTCCTGGAAACAAAAGTAGACCATAAAACTTTCAGATAAACCAGGTACCAGTGAGAGAGAAAAAAAAAATGACATGATTCTAATGAGGGCTAGAACAAATCAAACTTATTAAGTCATTTAAATGATGTGAATGTTGTCTATACAAAAACGTGGGTGCAAGTGGACTTTTATATGTATATGGAAAAGCTGAGCTCTGAATGAGGCTCATGTGAAAATGTGAAAATGTGAAAATTCTTCTTTTCTAGTGAAGTTTTATATTCTGTAAAGCTATAAAAATGTCACCAAATTACAACATAAATAACAGGGAAACGACGTATGTACTGTTCTCCAAAGGAATCCCTGTGGGAAGTCTGATGACGCAGTTACATTCACAGAATAAAAATCTAAATGGCGGGGGCTTTTTATTTTTTCCACTACAGTTTTCAAGTGATTTTGACATTTCTTTGGCACAAAGAGAATTGACAGAATGAGCTTCTGCCAAATATCTTGGCTAAGAAATGCCTAGAACAGGCAACAGTTTGGCAATTAAGAAATGCAGAATCATGTTAATATTAAATATACATTATTTAAGGTATTTTCCAACTATTCAGGAAGCTTAACTTTCTTCGCATACTGTAACAGTATCATTTTTTGAAATTAAAGCAAAGCAAGGAATTTGGAATTACTTGCTACCTCCTTAGCATTACCCAGCCTACCCAACATCTCTGATGCAGAATGACATGTTTCATGCACTGAAACACCATATTGCATACAAACAGAAGAAGTAACAGTTCCAACAGCATCAGCTGCTTTCAGAGCATGTTGCCCGAGTACTAATTCATCTGTGCATTCATCAATGAAGCTATGGACTGTAGAGAAAAACTAAGTTAGCCCAATCATGTAATTAAGTTTACAGAGCTTTGGTTAAGTCAGTTTTTAATGGTGCTTTCTTATAAGCAGTCAGACACTTTGTAAGCCGTTGACTTGTATTTTCTACCCTCCCTCACTGAAATGGCTCATGAACAAAGGCCCACCTGTGAAAGCATGATGTTCTTCCTAACAGTTTTATCCTCAGCCTCTTTGAAAGCTCCAGCGTTCAGAGTCATCAGACATGGTCTGAGGTTTTTATATCTTGGAATAGGCCTATCTTGCATATCCACCTTTCCCCTGCTCTTTCCAACCCTTGTTCAGACATCTTTCCCAAAAAATTTTAGGATTTTGTACATAATCTCTTGCTCTTGTTATCTAAAACTCATTAGCAAGGTCTAGGGACTGATTAGAAATAATTTAGTGATCTTGTATATGGTCTAACTATTTGGATAGTTGTTACATAATAACTATAGATATGGGACACCAGCAGGAACACAGTGCCTCTAGTTAAATACTTATTTTCAGTTACTACCACAGGAGTCATTAAGAAGCAATACTGATCTTAAATCTAGATTTAAGAAGATCTAACTTATATCAAGGCCCAAGTTCCACTGTTGTATCTCCAACCTGGGAATAGACAGTCAGTGAGGAGAAGGGGAGGTCTTTTCACACATAGGACAATGCATATTAAAGGAAGCTGTCTGATTATACTGATAAGAGATTTGGAATCTAGTTAATTTTATGGTCTCTCAGCTATTCTAGCTTATATTTTAATTTAGTTTAATGGATACATTTCCTTTTACTAAGAAACATACAACTTTTCCTGAAATACCCCAGTCTTGGTCTTTTTGCAAGAAAACACATACCAAACACAAACACCCTGCTTAAAGATTCAATTCACTGTCTTTGAAATTAATGTGCCTAAATAATAAAAACATATGAAGAGCCTTGTGTCAACATTACAGAATGGTAAAAGCAACTCTTTTTCAAGAGCTTGCATGGCAGCACCAAATCATTAATTTGGGTTAACTGAACTGACCATTGGTATTTATTGGAAGCTTTTTCCTCCCCTACAGAGCTAAGTACAGCCTGACAACATCTAAGACTGGGGGGAAAGGGCCAACAAATTTTAAGAACTCACTCACATGATTTTTTTCATGCTGATATTAAAAAATAATAAAAGCTAAACCAAAATACAAAAAACGTAGTTGTCTTGCTTGCATACCCGAGGAGTTGAAGCAGTAAACCTGAAATGTCTTAAAGGGTTCAGCACGCCATAGCACTAGTCCAACGTTGCCCTTGCCACATTTCTTGTTGGATGTTATCCGAGGAATGACAACCAATCCATCTTTCACCCATCCATAGCTACAATAAAAAGCATCAGCCCTTTTAATATTCGATTTATCACCAGCCTCAGATGTGTGTAAAGGCGTTCACCGAAGGCAATGGGGCACTAACTGATGTCATGTACCTGCATGTCTCAAAGCCATGTTTCAAGGCCTTTTCAACTTGCTCTTTACTTGCCAACTGTAGATTCAGTTGATTACATGCAGTACTTGCTTCTGAGAAATTCACTTTCTCCTCAAGATAAATTCCTACACCTGTGATCCTGCAAGGTGAAAGAACGGAACCTGTAATTTAGACATAAATATTCAAAGTTAGTATTTGAATATTAACATCTGTTCCTCGTGAAGAACTTAAGATCACATTCAACTGAACTCAATGTTCTTAAAAGTTTCTAGCTTGAGGATAGTAGAAAACTAATTTCTAGCAACGATGACATGCTTTAAAAATAGAGCGTACTTTCTTAACACAATAGCCTAGAATTTTAAGGGGTTTGGCTGTTATTAGACTAAATGCATATACAGTTGGCATTGGAGTCATCACCTGGAGTGAGTGGCTTACTAAAGACACTCTGTCATATTTTTTTCATGCAAAATGAGAAGAGTAATCAGACAGGTTGTTTTTCTTTTTGTAAAAAAAATTCAAAAGATAAAACTAACAGTTGCACTGAGGCACTGATTCTGGCAGTACACCTCCTACCACTATGAATTCTATCAAAGATGTTATACATAATTTTTCATTGAATTAATATAACAATAAGGAAATAAACGAATGATAAAATCTTTATAGGTGATGTTCCTTATTCCTCCTAAACTTCATTTTTTTCTAGCTTGGCATGGTGCTTCTGCCCCCAGCCACTGTCAAGTGTTCCATTTGCTGAGTGCTCGGGATAGCTGGGTGAATTTGTGACACTTTTCCCCATTCCTCCTCCAGAGGAGCTTGTTTAGATGGCCACAGCTGGCACTGTTCATGACATCTGCGCCAGGAAATGCATAGCTTAGGTCTGATTACACCTGCTCTACTTTCTTAGCCTGTGTTACGGACACAGGGCAGAATTCAGGATTGGACACAAACAAGGAGAAAGGATATTATTCTTTTGCCTCCATATTTCACTGGAAGCATATACTGGAAAAAAGATTTTTTTTCTTTTTGAGTTACATAGAGTAACTGCCATATTAAATGAAACATTTCAACATTTCATTGCAAGCATTTCAGATAACCAAGTCACAAGTGTTACTTCCTTGCTCAGTATGCTTTCACACTGTGTGCTCACCAGGTATGTACACAAATCAGTGCGGCATAAAATCTGCGCATCAGAATACAGACGATCCACAAACCCTCAGGACAGGATGAAGTGGTGCCTGCAGATCCATCAGAAGACTTCTTAGCAACAGAGGTTAAAGTGAATTTTCTGAATGAAAAGAGAACAAGCAACCAAGCCACTCCTATGGCGAGGAGGGGATGAAAAGATGACTAAGCCTGTGTGGAGTACTAAAAGAAAGGCAGACTTTTCACTCCTGCTCCTGCTAGGTGTAGAGGGGCTGGAAATGGCTTCTGGTAAAAGATGCATCTCTGCTGTCCTCACATTTAGCTTAATTGGACTTAAATGCTTGGTAGAGCAATCACTGAATTAAAGGGACTTATCTTGGCAGTGATGGAGGCTGTGATCTCCCATTAACACACTCTGCTGTGGTGCAGACCCAGGCACATGGCCAGCCAACTGAACACTTGAGCAGTCCCCAAAGCCAAATTGTGGCTGCATCCAGCCCTGACTCGAACATAAGACAAGCCCAAACATACTGCATGAGGATGCAGAGAAGCCCTGTTGCTCAGTGAAGATGTGTGTGGGTATCAAGGACCTCAAGTCTATCCAAGCAGTCCCTGTGTGAAGATGATTCACGCTGTCAAATTTATTCCTTTCAGCCAGTCTGTCTTCACAAATGCCCTCTTGTATGTCTTCAATTTGGCCAAAGTACATCTGTGTCAGAGAGGTCAAACCCTGGAGCAGGCTTCCTGGAGAGGCGGTCGGTGCCCCAGGCCTGGCAGTGTTGAAGAGGATTGGAAAATGTCCTTATCAACATGCTTTTGGTCAGCCCTGAACTGGTCCAGCAGTGGGACTGGGTGATCGTCCGAGGTCCCTTTCAAGCGAAATAGTTCCATTCCATTCTAATGTGTTCCAGAGTTGAGTTGATTCCCTTTTGCTAACAGGCAACTCTCCCGGGCCTCTTGAGAATTGTTTCTTGTTTTCTGAATAACTCCCTGTCTCAGCTGCTGTGGCACATCCCACAATTCCTCTTTCTTAGTTTTTGAAAGCCCACTCCTCCACTATGGTTTATGTCTAATTCCTTTCTTCTCTTACTACTTTTTAGGCTCATACTTCACTCATTGCTTACTTAATCAATTACTTTCCCATCTTTAGATTTGAATTAATACAACTTTTAAAAAATGTAATGTTGAGAATGAAAGTTTCTCAATGACCAACTTCACAAATTTCAGATAAAGCTGAGCAGCTAACTGAATGGAATATCCTGAAACCTCAGAAAGTTGCCTAGATACTTGTAAACTGTTACAGTCTTTAGTCATTCAGCTACAGGACAAATATTTTTACATGAGAATTTCATGATAGATACATAGCATAATATAAAAATTCCGTACCAGAAGATTAAGTCTTAAGTGACAAGAAAAGTGACTGTAGGGCATGGACCAAATTTGTGCCTTAGAATTCACTAAGCCTTTTAAAAAATGGTGAAGTAAAAGAAATGTTTTGGAAAAGTTATCAGCTTCAATCTAAATTCCAAGATGGTTTCACAGTGTGAGGAAGAAATCCAGAAAGAGAACAGTAGCCTCTTCAAGTCTTCTCATCACTTCTTCAATCACCTCTGAACTCTGTTCTAAAGATGACTGAGTTTGTACAGGAGACAGACTAACCCTTTAGAAGCATATTATCATTTTTGGTCCACAAGCTGCACATAGCTGTACTTTATGCTTTGCTTTATTTAGTTAACCTACTAATAATGGGACATTCTCCTCAGTATTTGGATCTGTGTGAAAAAACTATTTTACTGAGAAAGGTGGGAAAACCTAGACAGAAGAATCTCCCAACCAGACAAAGTCAAGGACAGGATGAAAATTGTTCCATTTTTATAAGCTATGGGTATTGGCTTCATTGTGCATGAGTTCTCCTCCTGCTTTTTTGGGGAAGCTGTTGTTTCTGCCTTTGTCTTGTGTCAAGCCTTCACTCTGATTTATTAGAGTTTCCTTTGGCTACTGATGTTAGGAGGCAGCAAGAATGAGGCTGTTCCACAAGGAAAGAGGAGCTAGGAGCTGACGGTGACCACAGCACAGGCAGGACACTGCCCTCACTGACCAGGGCAGAGCCCCACAGCACCTCAGCAGGACCACAGTGGTGGCAGGGGCAGGTTTCACTGGCAGCCCCAGAGAGAGCAAGACAGTGAGTCAGGTGCAGGGTTCATCAGAAAGTTCATTTGGGAACAGCAGAAGATGGTGCTACCTATAACACATGCCTGAAGTCCATCCTGGAGACAAGGCTACCTACAACCCAAGTCCATCCACGAAGCCCAGTCAGTCAGTCAGTGCAGGAGGGGACAGGGCATGCTACAACACAGCTTGAAGACGCAGCTGGACATCAGCCCTGAGCTTAAACCAGACCAGCTTGGACCAGCTGAGCAGAGGGTGCATGAGTGGGTATCTTGAGGGAGGCTTGGAGAAGAACTAAGGGGGGTCCTAACAGCTGGAAGCAATAGTCTTAAGACTCAAGCTCTCCATTTCCCCAGTGAAAATTATTCAGTGGCTGGGACTGCTGGAGGAGACTACTGTTGTTAGGTACTCCAACCCTGTGGAATTTCAATAGGACTTGAGATGAGTATCTGATTTGCTCAGTTTCCTTCTGAAGCCTTTCAGAAGATAAGAAAATCAACTGTCTGCAACAATAATGTGTGTTCTTTTACATAGGTTGAGCAAGCATTTACTTCTTGCAAATTACAGTGAAACATCTGGAAACTTCTGATGTCTATTGGGTATCTGCAGATATCCTCGTAGCTACTGCAGTTAGAATACATTGCCTCAGTTAGGGAATTTGAAGAAGACATTCAGATTTCACTAACATATAGAAGAAAGGGATATTTATGACCCTGATTGAAAAACACAGGTTAATATAATAATGTTTGAGGGAGGAGGCTTCTCTAAGAACTATATGATAAAGTTGATGTTAGCAATTCCCTGTATTCATTTTTTCACAGATTGTTTATACAGAGAAGGAATTTTTGCACTGTATTAATGGGATACAGGCATGACTGCCCTCAAGATGAACTGGGAGATCCCTGCCACGCATTTTTTTCAACACTGTAAATCAAGGCAGTGTTAGGATATTGCCAAATCAGAGCAAACAACTTTGCATTAAAGATAGTATTTTAGTACAGACACACAGAACTGGTTTCATGCATGTTTTGCTGTCTTAGGATTGTACAAAACTGTTTGCTATGGTATTTTAAATAACACAATGTCAAATCACATTTCAATAGATCTAAACTTAATCCTAAATGCAATACCAAATCTTTACAACAAGCAGTTCTGTAGCACTTAGACAATAATGCTACAGCATTCAGACAATAATTAGACTAACAATGAAAGTTCCCCTATATCCTAGAGTAGTTTTCATTGCACTGTATTCTCAAAACCCTGTTGTGGTTTCCTATGCCAGAAACACATTTACACAGACACCCCCCATTTTAATTTGCAAATCTAGCTACTTTGTTCAAGTACTTTACTGTTTAACTAGGAGACTTTAAGAAGTGGAACTCTACATACCTGTTATAAAGTCATTTTGAGCCACGAATGTCATAACCCAGACGTAAAACACTGCTGACGTAACTTCAAAATAAGTTGCCATTGTCACCAGCTTGGAAAAAATCAAGAAATTCAAGGTAATGTGTCTCCTGTGCTGAGAAAAGTTAAGGTACTGGATACTGTCAGACCACCTTTGTGATGACTTCTTGAAAGCAACTTCAGCTGTCACTGCACTACTTCATAGAAGGAATGTCAGAGCAAATGTGGTGACTGTCCCACTCAAAGGTGAGGTCACTGACTGGAAATCCGTAGCCACCCTTTACACTATCTTTCATGTAGGGCTTGCTGGAAAATTTAACTAATGCTGACTCAGAAAACACAGCTGAGGAAGGGAGATAAGACTGTTAGACTGCTAAGTCTGTAAACACTTTGAAATAAGATTTTCTTACTGTTTTTTCCTGTTTTAGTAATTAACAGCTCATTAATCACGCTGTCTATTCATCTGGTAAATAAATTCTGAGCATGCCAGGCTGGATTTTTCTTTTGGAATTGGAAGGGCATCGATTCCCCAGTATCCGATTTGTCTTGTTGTAGTACTTTTACCTTCCTTTGCCTTAGAGTTCTAGTGCAAAAACAGGTGCCATAACACAGTGATAATGCGATGCCTCGTTTGGAACAGATTTGGAGATACACTGTAAACGGGATTCCTTGTGCGACTGCAGGGCAGGGGTGGGATCTAGTCCCTTCACTGCTGGCTTCTGCAAAGTTCCAACAAACAGTGACTTCAACAGACTGATTCCAAACACAGATGATCCTCACGGCTGTAACTCAGAAAACATTCAGGAAGTCTTAGCAAGGAAACAATTTTTTTTTTCCAGAGGCTCCAACAAACACAGAGCAGGAATAGTGTTCAAGAGGTCAGCTAGTTCCCTTTACTGTCAGTAGGATCAGCTGGATTTATGTTATTCCCGACAGATGTTTCTCTAACCTGTTCTTAAAGACTTCCAGTGACAAATTCTTAACATTTCCTCAAATGCTCTATTGCAGTGCTTCACTGTCCTTTACTGGTAAAAGGTATTCTCTAGTCTAAACTGACTTACCCATACCATGGTGTAAACCTATAATTTCTTCTCCTGTTGGAAATGGACATGGAAAATAATTTACTGCCATGTTTTTCAACAGTCTTATGTATTTAAAGTTATGTCTTTGCTCCCACTTCTCTTTCAGCTAAGAAACCCCAGCTTGCTCACTCTTTCTCTCTAGCTGAGGCCTTGCCAATGCCAAGTACTGATTAATAAATTCCTTTATCTGCTTATACAGTTCAGACTGGTATGAGCCTTTTTTTGCAACAGGATGATTTTGTTATATCATGTTCAGTTTGTGATTCAGGAAACTTTCAGATGTCCTATATCCCCAGGCTGTTTTCAAGGTCCTGTAAACACAAATGTAACAGTAGCTATGTCTTTAAACTGTGGTTTGCCTTGTAGAAGGTCCCTTCTTAATATATTAAGGTAGTATTAACTTTTATCTGGGCACAGGCCCCATCTCTTACAGCAGCATATAACACGGTTATGGGTATACTATACCATAGACAGGCATCTACAGGGCCGAGTGGAGCATGCTGTGGGTTAATAAAATGATGTCTGCATTCGCAATAAAGAAAGGAACATTGAGTTGTGTTTGGCTTGGAATTGAATGTTGTTAAAGCTCTTTGAGATATTAATACAAATTTCTTGCTCCAATTTCTAGTCACTCCTTTACTGTGTTGTACTTACCTGCCTCTACAAAGGGACAGCAATCTGAAACACTGCAGTCAGACTTACTTTCACTGAAGAAAGTTCTAACTGGATTCACTTGCATTTACTGTGTAGGAGCAGAAACTACTAGTTACTCTGTAGCTCTCATAGACTAGTAGTACACTGTGGCTGTAAAACACTGAGAACATTAAACAAAATCTTACAATCTCCATGCGTACCTTGAACTGCTATCATGAAAACTAATCAGAAGCTGGGATTCTGACATTTTAAAATTGCACACTAATTGTCCTTTCAAGTTTTAACACTTTGTGCCTATTATCCTCACTGTGGCAAAGTCCCTTTAGTCAAACTGTCTGTGCTATTGATGTTTAGTAGAATTTTTTGCTGGAAAAGTGAGAAAAACACTGAACGAAAAAACCCTCATTCACATAGTTTTGTAAGAGCAAACTACGTATTAGGAATTTTTGAACGATAAAGTGAGACTGAAATAACCTTTTTTTTTTTGTCAGTGTCTTCCTTTTTATATTTAAGTTGTTCCAAAACTGTGTGGAAGATCACTTACCTGGACTGTAACAGTATAAAAGGTCTTTAACCTGTTTGTGGGTCTTCATCTTAACTTGCGTGGTGAAAAAAAGCGCAGCCTTATACCGAACGTTTAATTAGCATTTGACGTAAACACTTACAGTAACCTATAAGGAAAACTTCCAGCATCTCATGCCAGCACGTTTAAAATGCTGATTGGGGATTGCTAAGCTTTTGATATGGTAGAACACACTTAACTGTTCTCTACAATCATTTATAAATGAATCTTGATGCCTGAACAACAGGAGAGGAAACAAGTTTAAAAAAATGTTTATGTGGAAAATACAAATATCAGGGTCTTTTCCTGGTAACAGTCATTCCTTTCAAGGTTGTCAGTGTCCCAGAGTTTTTCTCCCTGACACAGACCATCAGAGATTCAGAAGCGACACTTCTGTTCTTTGTGGAACTTGAGCACTGTGTCTCCTTCCTGCTGGTCTGGCAGTTCAGCTCTCCACAAAGCCCAGGCTTCCCAGACCTCCCAGGCCTACAGGAACACAAAGCAAATAAAGAATCCTAACCTTTGGTTACAGATCTCCCTTGTGGCTTTCCGTGTTCAACCTCCTCAGTGACAGGCAGCCTCCCTCGGAAGCAGGAGTTAAACTCTCTCCAGGATATTTCAGCTTCCTCTCTCATCTTGTTTCTAGGGTATGACAGGGATGACCCTGCTTACAAACACTTTCTCTACTGAAACAGGAGTTTGCTTGCTTCTTCTACATCATTTTCCTGAAGAACTGAAAGACTAAGCACAAGATCTTTGGTCTGTGTAACACAGCACTATGTTACAGACAAGGCAGCATGTACTTAGCCATCGACAGGCAGACAGCGCATGGAAAAAACAAACCTTTAAGGTAGCAGCATTGAGGACTTTGAAACCATATTTTTATTTCAAAACTCAAGTATGTGATACTATACAGTACAATACCAGCACACTTGTGCAAAATCTTACAGTATTACAAATTTAAATATGATACACAAAAATAGTGCCCTTTTAAAATTCCTTTTACTAGAAACAACTGTGCTGTGCAGGAAAACAATAAACGTGTCCTGTTAAAGCAGAAAAATAAATATTGCACATCAAGAAAACTATTTCAGTGTTAATAGCATAAATAATAGATCTATTTCTTGTTATCTGATGTGATCTTTGAACACAGAAGAGGTTGGGGTTTTGTTCCAGATGAAGCAAACTAATATTGAACAGATAAAATTACATTTAGAATAGTCTTTGAGCTCAATCTAGTTTCCTATTAGAAAAAGGTGTCTTCATTAACTAACTGAAAAATATAAGCAAAAATATTTAATGTGCTGCTAGTCATTGTGGTTCATTATTTTTAGTGGACAGTTTGCTCAAAGTAGTTATAAAAAGAACAACCATTTTTGAAAAAATAAACTTTATCTTCGTCTTTTCACCCTCATTGTAATCTCTCTTGCCTCTTTCAGTCCATTCCCCACAACAATTAATAACTTTGTGGCTAAATTATACTTGTCTTAGACATGCAAGTAGTTCAGTTCAAATCAGTACAACTAGCTATGGAAATCTGCCTTTGTGCATCAAGTCCACAAAAAGCCAGTGTGCTGAGTTTGGAGAGAGGACGGAGACCTCCTTCACCCACGGACCCCTTAGCACAAGCTTAACATTAAGCAGTTCAGGAGTCCTACTGATATCAATTAACTTTCTACATGTACTTCAAATAAGGTGAGACACCCACATCAGTGCAGATGTAAACAAGAGCAAATTAATTTGATTATAGATATTGTTAATTGTTTTTCCTCAGTGCAGTCCAACATTTCCACAATGATATAATCAAATATGTGGCCATAATTTTTGGCATAGAGGATTCTGAATCTTCAGAACTATTTACCTTCAATTTTTATTGCCTTATTATCAATGCTATCTGTAAAGAATATTGTTAGACAATTTCAATAAAGATGTATTCAAAGAGCAACTGACAAGTTTCTTCAAATACTGAAAAAGTATGTGAAATGTCACAGTAGTTCTTCATAGTCAGACATTCTAACTGAACCAAACAGATTAAGTAATTTGCAAGAAACCTTCTGTCTTATTCTTTACCAATTACAATTTTAGACCAAATGACACTTTCCCATTATCCTTTTTGAACTTCCTTAAGCACACTAGTCCTCAACAATATATACCTTAAAATAAAAAACAGACCTTCCAACTGCTTCTAGACTTCCCCCCATCAAAAAAACACCCAATTGGTGGTGGTCTGCTTATTTATTTATTCTTTTCTTTCTCCATATAAATGTCTCTTAAGAAACATGTGGCTAAAAGTGTAAGAAACAAAATTCACCAGCAGAACATTTGTTACTAGTGCCAGATATGTGAACTAAATTTCTGGCTGAGTTAGAAACCTGTTTTCTTTGATAGTCAGCTTGAGGTTCAGTGTTTACACCAAAAGTAAAGATGATGATACTGACCACATCTGAACTGAACTTACAGTACTGCATAACATACTTGTCCTTCAGTTGGTATACAGACCTGCTAATCAGTCAGAAAATGCCAGAAGAATGCAAAACACAAGTGCAATCCAGTGTCACACTGATTTTGGTATCGTGGTTAGATTCAAGCATGTAGCTATGGAAAGACAAACATAGTTCACCTTCAGTCAGAAGTGATGTTCAGCAGGTCCGTATGGTATACCTTAAGTGACATACATTTTGGTCTCAGCCCTAGGTGGTGTGGTTTTTTACAGATAACGGCTTCACCATTTTGAAACTGCTTGTCTAAAAATTTCAGGCTTTGGCATTCTTGTGTAAGAACTCACAACTCCTAAGTAGGCAGAAGTTGTTAAAAAATCTGGGCAAGAGATTCATCTATCATGACCTGGTAGTTTAGCTCTGAAATCATATCAGAACAGTTATATACTCGGCATCAGATTCTGAAAATGAACTACTAAACCATGCAGTGACCTCTTCCAAGTCCTCACTGCTTTCACGTCCTGATTCACCTAGGCACTGGCAGGGTTTTGACTGTACACAGAACTGTGTTCCTAGTGCAGGTCCCAAAGAATATTTATTTCCAGTACTAGCACTAGGGTAGAGTCCACTTAGTGTGATCACCTCTACACACAGGTTTGAAGGCTTTTTTTTTTTTTTTTCCCCCTTTTCTCTTTTTAAAGAAAGAATTGAAGGTTGCTTCCCACATCCAAGACTGCTGTAGTTTGGGCTTGGGCAACACATCTAATCTGCCAGACAGCAACTTCTTTTTGCTGTAACTCAGGAGTGACTCTGAGTGGCATACACAAATTTTGGTAAAGCATGTCTCTGATATATTGGAACTTCCTAGATTAATTGACTGTGTCATCTAGACCTCATTTTAGGTTTTGGTGTATATCCCATTTTAAAAACCTGCTGGTCCCATTCCTAAAGTAAATTTAAAACACATTTATGCATGTACTTAGTATTCCATTTAAATAATCATACAGATAAATCCTCTTATAAAATTAATTTATCAGTAAGGCATTTGGTCTGATAATACAATTCTAACCTTCCATAGAAGAGCTTCTATTTCTAGCCAATAATCAATAAGGAAAATACTTCGACTCTTAAAACCCAAAGGACTTAAATGCCATTAGTACTTCAACAATCACTAGTAAATTCAGGAAATGCAAAGTAAAGCACTAACTGCAAATGCAGGTTTTACAGTTTTCTTCAAAATTATAGCAGAGATGCCAATGTCCTGGGCAAATCATTCCTTTAAATGTCTTGCTGGTTGCCGATTACTACCACAACCTTATCATGATTCCATATTACTTTATTTGTATCAGTCATTTACACTGAGAGGACAGACAGGATTCTTTATCAGATTGTCATTTTGGCAAGGTATGTTCACAAGGTATCCCCAAACCTGACAGATCACATTTAACAACCAATAAGGATGACTAAGCACTACCTTTAACAACTGTGTTCTAACAGGTGTACTTGCTCAGGTACCATAACACATGGCTGTTCCTTTATTATTCAGTGCGTTGCTCATGTTGAAATCCTGAGTTCCACCAGGAATATTGATGGGCAGCAGAACAGCTGGCCTTCCCTTCAGGTCCCTCTGATTTTTCATCACAGGAGTTGTATGAATGGTAGATTCCCAACACCACAGCAAAAATGGTAATCGCAGCCACTACAAGCCATACCACATTCCAGTGTTTACACAGTTTGGGGTACAGTATATGTAAATAATTAATGATGACTTCAAGTCTGCTGTAAAATTAAAAGAAAACTGTTATATATTAATCATATGCAAATTCAATATCTTAAGCTTTTCAGTTTGAGAAGTTTCATAGATGTATGGTGCACCATTTTTCTTCCAAATACAAATACCCTGTCAAAGAAGAATCAGACTGTTAAGTTCTTTCAAGAAGAGCTGTATGCTCAGGTATGGGTAATATTCACTGAAGACTGTAAAACTTGACTTCTATTTCTCCCACTTGTCAAATCTCAGAGCTTGATATGATGTTTGTCAACTGGCAAATCTCAGAGCTTGATATGATGTCAAATTCTGCACTGTTCACATCTTGCTCAACTAAACTAAACATCAGAACTTTGTAAACATTTCTTTCCTAAAAGCTTTGTGACTAGCGAGATGGCCGCCCTTCTGAATATGTCTGAAATCTCAAGTTAACAGAGGTTTATAACCAGAATGGTTATGGAATGGAAATGAATTCTCCTGGATGAGGTAAGGATCCCTACATCCCTACCTTAGATTGGGATTGAACATATTACTTGCTTTGGCCAGCATTCAGTTCCTCTCTGGCGCAAAAGTCTTGTTGCTTTTAAAATGTAGGATATTGCAGGTATATTGAATTGAGTAGTGGAACCCCTGAAGAGACTCAGTAATTAACTCCAAGAAAAGCTGAACATTTCAGAAAAGTTTTCCAGTTTGGCATCAAATGCTTCAGGTAAGACAATAAGCAGATGAGTCAAAAGCCCAGTATAGACAAAAAGCATTGGGTACAGATGAATGCAATAGACATGCCACTGGTAAAAGGCAGGAACTGCAGCCCAGTGCTGTTCTGCTGCATCTACACAGCTTCCAGAGCGAGCAAGCACCTGCCTTTCCAAGTCAGAGCAAGTCCAGCATAGCTGTGGAGTTTGTCTTAATCTGCATTCACCTTGTAGATGTACTGGAAGACTCCCCTGTGAAGGCCGTTTGGGAATGACATATGGCACAAATATGGCCATCAGATTCCTGAAATACAACTTTCACGAGACAATGTTGGTCTACTGAGAGATACATTCTGGCATCTGAAGAACTTTTGTGGAATATTTTTTACCTCAAATCAAACCCAAACCCCATAAGGATGAAGCCTCTTGATGTCAACATACAATTTTAGTTGAAATAGAAAGAAATATTTTTGCATTTTGCAACTATGTTCTCGTGAAATATGCCTTTCTGTGAAAATACTGTTATTTCAAGTATGCTTCCCTAGACTGGAAGAAAACACGTCAAGACAATAGTATAAACACTTGGTTGGGTACCGTGAATAGAAAAAAGTGGCTCCTCTTGTATGGACATATTACACCACTGTCTCACCTGCTTTTCAGGTTTTTTATTTCATCTTCATTTTCACTTTCTTCATGTTCATCATGACTTTCTTTTGGTGTCTCTTCATCTTCTTCCCTCAGTTCCTGAAGTTCTTTGGTTTTCTTTAAGCCTTCCTGATATCTTTAACACAAAAATCCAATTTTCTTAGTCTAGCACATTGTATAAACCTGTTCTTATGTAATGAAAAATTAGATTTATAGATTGTTACATGCAATAAAACACAAGTAGCAGTGTTGCAGCACTTGGATGAGTTAAAATTAGCTAAAGACAGTAAGTATGGCAGCCACCCTTCCTTAATAGAGGATTATATTAGCTCTGTTACCAAACTTATCATCATGAAAAAGAGGTGGCAGTCCTCAGGAAAGTACAACATTTTTCTGTTGTAAAGGAGTTGGTAAATATTTCTCTATTATTTTTCAATCATTTTGAACACCCTCTAGATTTTTTTTTCCTGGAGAATAAATGCAAATCAAAGCTAAAGATAGAATGCTTGTTGGATTCTGCAGGAGAGGATGAAAATTTTTTCTCCCTCTTCACATAGTACAAGTAGGTTCTTTGCTTGACATCCAGAAACAGACCCCAAAGCTGTTAATTGCCCCAAAACACGCTACGTAAAGCACTTTGTGACACAAACAACATGAGTTTACTCCAAGAGTTGATACTTACTCTTTATTCATTTTTACGTATGCCTTTCAGAAGAAATATTTTATAAAGTTGTTTTGGATTATCCTGTCATGAATCTCTGAACACTATTGACATAAGAACACCCACCCAGCTCAGAATCTCTGATACAACCACTCTCCCATGGCCTGGCTAACATTCATAAAGGATGAAAGCCAGCAGCTACAATGCACATACAAGGAGGGAAGCTCGCTCACATTGTTTCCCATATTGCTTCAATTACAACCATCTTCTAGGAGCTCATATCGATTATGTCGCTCATTTTGCATTTAAAATTACATTATAAAAACGTATGTACTCATCTGGTAGCACGTATTTACAGATTTAGTTCATATAAAATATTCCCACCCTTTGTTATATGCTTCCTCTTCTATCTTGGCTTTAGTTTCAGGACTGATCTCTTCCAACCCACTCTGTGTCAGCACAGAAGCAGGGGTTTCACACTCAGGCTCTCCATTAGTCTTTCCACTGCCAAGACAAAAGAGAAATAGAAAATAACACCACTGAAATGTACTGTATTTGGAGTATACTACTGAACAAGAACAATCACACATAATGTTGTGATTCCTGATTTTTCTTCTTTAATGTATGCCAAAGAAATTAAATGTCCTTCAAAATAGAAAAAGTTAAACACTAAGCAAAATTTTAGTTTCAGAATGTTGAGTCTTCAGAATCTGAGAACAGTAATTAATATGTTCCTAAGGTATTAAAGCTTGCAATTTGTTTCTTCTTTAAAAAATAAATGAAATGAGAATTTGTTTCCTGGCTTATTCCTGGCATTTATTTGCTATTCTTGATAACATTTCCCTCAACTTTCTGAAAATCATCTTAGAAATTGTAGCCTGCTACAACCAAACACATACATAGCATTTGTCACTAAAACTTTTCTTAAGTGAAAGCTTCGAACATTTAGCCAAAAGATAAGCCTTGTATATTGCTCTCTTTCTGCAGTGCTCACACGTCCTTTTTTATTTAAGTCTGGGACAAAGAGTTTAAGTGAGTCAGGCATGAATTAGCAAATCTATCAAAGTCAAGGTTTGATAAGATCAACAGTGGATCCCATTTCAACTTCTAGAATCGAACCCTTTTTGTAGGCCTTATTTTTCTGGCACTAAACCCAATGGCAGAATACTTCACCCTTATTGACACCATCTCCGGGCAATGGGTTTTCTCTCAAGAAGTCAAAATAATGGTAGACATTGGTTTCACTTGGACTCTAAACAAATCATGCGTATATGCTTGAATGCTTAAATATACAAAACTGCTGAACTATGAAATTTCACACTAATACAGCACCTGGCCCATGCATGGCATACTTATGCTCAAACCTGGATTTCAAGTTCTATTTATGTTATTTGATGATTTGTTTTCTTAAGATCCAGTAAGAAATACTGATAAGGATTTGGCTTGTTTGGTTTGGTTTTCCGTATGGTTTCAAAAGATGATCTAAATCTTGCAGAGTTCTGTTGAATTGTAACCACTAGTGCCACAGTTCACCATTTTTGTTTTCCGAATTGTTGCATGTTTTCATTCTTAGTAAAGCACAGAGATAAAAGATAAATTTTGTCCTGCCCTAGCACTAATCTAAAATATGCGAAATTCTTCACTTTCCTTGTTCCTGTACCTATTATTTTGATCTGAAAGTAGTACTACTTAAAACCATGGAATAACTCATGGAATATTACAGAAAACAGATAACAAAAGCACACCTTAAACCAGACAGGACATCTAGACTAACAGTAAGTAATACAGAGTCAAAAGGGCAAATGTTTTAATGAAAAATATTTTTGCAATTTATAGGTACTCAAAAAATACAGATATTGAGGTATTTGCTTGTTACTAGGCTAAAAAAACCCCTTGTCTTTCATATGTCTATTTTTAAATTTTAAAATGCAAACCTCTCTGGCTGTTATAACTAAAGTCTCAGGTTGTTAAAACTAAAAACTCAAACCTAATTCTTTAAGTTAGCTGAATGTTCAACTCATTTTATTCTAAAAACGAATCACTACTCTATTTAATCATTGTTTTGACTCCTGCAAATTTTTTATACTATTATGATAAATTATACTTTTGAATTTTGTATAATTATGTTTATTCATATAAATTTAAAAAACTACACTAAAAAACCTGGATATCACAGTATTTCAAAATACGATTCTTACCAGCTAGCCACATGTTGAAGAGTGAAAGAAGTGAGTAAAATTAAAAAGACATAGTAAAATACAGTTACCAGATCATGAATCTGCCTAAGCCATAATTGTGTCCCTGATTTTAATATCTTATACCTCGGTATAACTTCTGCTAGGAAAGACAGAAATTATATAATTTTCATTTCATACTAGGATTTAATAGGTAGTGGGATGACCTAGAGAAAACTCACTTTTCTAAAAGTGCTGGCAGAACAGGAGTAGATGTTAGATTGCTCCTTCCATTACTAGGTGATTCAGACTGTAAGTGAAAAACAGCAATAGAAGTTACATCCACAAATTAATTTCAAATGAGTTTTCAGTAAAATGACAAAGTCAATGTGCTGCTTAGGCTTTCTTGGCACACTCATGAGCAAGGTGTCTTTAATATGGAACTTCCCACTAATCACAGAAAACAATGCACTTCTACACTAAGAATTTTCTGTGCCATTCCCTTCTACCCTGCTTATTTTTTTCCAGTCTTTCTTCTTCATATATTGATCACTGAACAGTAAAATTACTTTACTGCTTCTTTCCATATTATCCTAGCAATGTTAATTTGTTAGCTGAGTTTTCAATGGAAAATTTTAAACAACAAAAAAAATCATAATAAATCAAGGTAAACAAACACACTTGGTTCCTGAAACAATTGACTCTGAGTACTAAATTGTACGCAGATTGTTTTCTTAAAACTAAAATGGATTTAGCTTCTCAGCAAAACCCCTCATTTCTGAAGGCCCAGGTCCCTTACACAACAGGAATTACCTTTGTCCATCCCCTTCACTAGGATGGAGGCAAAACAAGTTAAACCAATGAAAGAGCTTACATTATTTAGGAAGTATGGCCTGGCCCTATACAAAAGTGGTTTAGACAAAAAGCTGTATCTTTAAAATGTGGGTTTTACTTACCAGGGATGGCATTGAAGGTATAGGTGAAGCGGCTGGTGACTGACCAGGAATGTTTAAGGAGTTAAATTTAGGAACAACAGCAACACTGACTCTCCTCCGAGGCAGATTCTGTGAGAAACAACATTTTTTTTTTCTGTCATACAACAAGATAGACTGAGGAAAAATTCTCCAAGTCAACAGGTGTGGCAAAGATGTAGGTTAATGTCCCTTGGGGGAAAGGGGAGTTGGAAGCAAAACTAAGATAAATGGCTGTTAGGGCTTTGGTTTTCCCTTAAATTAACTCTAGTACTGCCTGGTATGGTAAGTGCTCAGTGTGAAAGGAGGCGTTGTATAGGGATGCAACTCTTTTTCCCTCCACAATGAAAGCCCAATAGTGTAAGTCACACCACAGCTATGTTCTGAGTTGATACTGTCAGTTCTTATCAGAATCTATTATCTTTGGTTAAATCAGACGTATAATGATAGTGGGAAAAGTGCCAGTGTCACAATCACCAGAAAATAATGAAGTGACAAATGAAACTCTTCGCTTGCTATGTACCCATTATGATATACTGTACCCACTATGATATATTATTTCTAAACCTACAAATTATAATTTATAGAAACAGTAACATCCCTTCCCTCTGGAAAAGAACAGAGCCTTCTCCCCCACCCTTGAGTTATTAGATATCTATCTAGCATCATGAGATTTCCCAAATATTGTCATTATTGCACAGTCATACTTACTCATGTATCCAAAATTACAAAGCACGTGCACTGAATTACATGAATAATATTTAGAATGTACCAGCACTACGTTTTGAACACAGCCTATAAAAGTGAGTGCATGTAGACAAAAATTTCACTACATAAAAATGTTCACTTCATTTTCATTAGATTGTAGAAATACCTTTCCAACAGTAAGAGACATGGATCTAGATGAACGAGGTACTCCATCTTCTGCATAAAAACAGTAGATAAAGAACAGTCTTAGACTACATGAGTATTGATAAATGATATTAATAGAGCCCTTGCTTCTAGTTCAAACTCAGATATAGCATATTTATACAAGGTCTGTAGCAACTGCATATTTATTTGTCGTCTGTCACACAGTTCTGGTCTCAATTACACCCGCAATTTGAAATAATTTCAAGAAATTGAACCATTGCTATCATTACTGAGGTCAGGCGACTCATATACAAGTTTTTGCAAAGGAAAATACTTGTATGTCAGTTTCCAGCAAACTAGGAAAGAAAAGGTTGCAAAAAGTATTTTTAATAATGAAACTTCATTATTAATCATCTCTCACTGAAAAGACATTTGCATTAAAACTGTGCAAACATCGTGTATGTGCAAGAGGCCAATGAACATGTCATTGGATCTCATCAGCATTTGGTAAGTGACAGTGATTTTAAATTACTGTACTACAGCATTAAGTATGGCTTCTATGAAATATTTTGACTGTTTTATCTATAACTTTCTGAAATTTACTCCTGTAGATCAGAACTTCATGAATAGGTTTCCTGATACTTCACTTTTTTTAGCATTAAGAGCACCAACACCTCTCTGTATAGAGGCAAGACTTTTTTTTTTTTTTTTTTTTTTTTACCAGATGCACCATAGCTTCTGCTAGAATTCTGATTGGCAAGTTTCTTGAACTCCATTAGTTCAGCATGATCCTTTTCATATGTTCTTTTCAGATTTTCCACATACTGCATCATCACTTCTGTTGCCTTTGACATACGCTTCTCCTAAGGAAGAAAAGAGGGGAATGCTCAGGTAACCTTTACACCTCTCAAACTAATCATTTGCCTCTGTGTGTATGCTCCCCATCAGGGATAATTTGGAATAGTCCTTCTTAAAGAAATATTGGTACCTCCATGATTGAAAACTCCTCAACTATTTAGAACACAAATGCACGTGTGCATTCATATATGTCCACAGAATATCATGATTTATTTTGTCACATAGTCTTCCTGTTATTAGTTATGTGGTATGCATACATTTGTTCTCAAACCCTCAAAGGTCTTAGTCACTGGCATCACTCTAGTTACTTCAGTGGGCAGAGGGAACAGTCTGGGAGGGTATTGCTGTGTTATCATTTATACTTATACTCTATAGTTGTCTGACTCAGCTATTGCCAAAGGCAGGTGACTGAACTAGATGAGGGTTTTGGCCCAGAAAAGTATTATTCATGCTGCACCGATTTTAAGTTTCTTGTGATGCAGGTAGAGTTCTGAATAATCTAGATGCTCCTACTGTACCCATGTGGAACAGCTTCATGGGTAACCTTCTGCTTGAATTTCTACTTCCAGACTGAAATAGTGTCTTATCTGACACTACAATAAATGTCCTTAATCTGTCAAAATGGCAAATCAAAGGACTAACATAACCCACACCTATGGCTGAAAAAGAGAGCGAACACGTGCAGCCAGGATGCATGTCAGACACGTGGCTGTTCTTACCTGGCGAACAGCTCCAACCATCTCAGCACGACTAGACAGTCTAGCAGCTAAACGACGCAGAACAGCAATATCCTCCAATAGTTTCTGGTAGGCTTCCCGGTGTTCATAGTGATGCCATAAGTGAGCTGAAGACTGAAACGAAAATACATAAGCTTTATTGTCATGTCTTGTCACTTTTAGTTCAGATGAAGTCGCCTGAGCCACAGCAGTGGGGTAGTGACGCAAGGCAGAACTACCCATGGGCAAATTAGCCTCAGAGGAGTGCCATCACCACCACCACCACAGGTAACCTCGAGAGAGCTGCTGCCCTGGCTCAGAATGGTGCTTCACTGCACGCTGCAGGCACACCTTGCAAGGAGTTAAAGAGGGCTAAGCACATTTGCAACACTTTACCTTTTGAAATTAATGATGAATCAGGCCTCACTACCTGTGAACTTTACAAATTCAAAGTGCAGTTTGGGGCCTGAATATACAATAGGTATAAGCAAGCATAGCCACATATATTTCAAATGTGTGTGCACTTTCGTGCACACTATAGTTCAGAAAAAGAATTATTGTTGTTTTCTTACCGTAATGGCTGCTTTAAAGCTTTCCAGTTCCTTCTCAGCATTCTCTTCAGTAAGATTTCTCTCCCTCTCTGCTTGGTTAATTCTAGATTCCAAGGTATAACTATCATTTCTAAAGGCCAAGGAAAGCTGTACAAATACATTCTGTTTGGATTGAGAAAAAGCATTTTAAAATAAGTGTCACAGTAATGTGATTTCCAATAACAACTTATGAATAAGGTATATGTTTAATAAACTTTGGTGCTTAAGTAAGTATTGAAACAGAAAATTAAAAATATTTTAAAAGTTCGATTATTTTAAAAAATCACTTCTCTTTACTTCCGCTAAAATATGAACAAATGTGTTGCTGCCTCTTTCCCTGAATGTTTTTCTGGGAGATCAGTAGAGCAGAGACACCATGAAGGAAGTAGCCTACCAGAAGTACCAGAATCACAATGGATCTGTTTTCTAACTGGACTTCCTCCAAGGGTCCCCAAGGTTTTTAAACAGATAGTGAGTGCAGAGGAAGTCCAGGGATGAGCTCACCATTAGCATTGTTTTACCTAAGGGATAAACACCTACCACTGAAGCCAGCACAAGATTAAGTGCAAACATTTTTATTCTCTTCCACCATGCTTTTAAAGATTATTTCTTTCTTTATCTGATGCATTATTTCTTAGTATTAATACTTTGCAAAGCACAAGGCACTGACAGTTTCGTTAGATTGGAGCTATGTAAATGAAGATCTTTTTCTTGACTGGTATGTGAAAAAAAGGAAGAAACAAAGCTAGCAAGCTGAAGAGCAACCTACAAAATAATTACTGGCTTGAACTGAAAAAGTAAAAATCATGGAAACTAACTGCATAATAGCATCAAAAACTGCCCCAAAGCTTTTAATGGCCAATACAAAAACGCAAATTAACTCATTTAATTTCTGGTCTCATTTAATCTCTGTTTAAGTATATGATAATGATTTCCAAAATGAATGTGTATTTTCTTACAAAGAATGCACAAACAAGTGTTTTGCCTGTTGCCACTCTAAGTCTTTTTACAGTTTATATTGCCTGGGACAATTGCCCATATTTCATAAAATTGTTATTTTGATTGGGTTCTGTTTGGCTTTTTTCTGAGAAATATTTTTTGTGGAAAAAAAAAAATCCCATTATTTGGTTCTAATAACCACTCTTAGACTTACAGTAACCACTTAAAATTGAGGTGTATGTCTAAAATAATGAGTTTAAGGACATACTTACCTCAACTTCTTTTTCAGTAAGTGGAGGGGAGCTAGAAATAAAAGCAGAAAATCCACCTTTTAATTAGTTTTGTCTCTAAAAACAAAGCTATTGAAGTATTTAATTGAAAAGAACAACAGAAGGCATCCTCCCCTTAAGTATTTTGTGGTTTCTTTTGCTGAAACCAGTCTTTAATTAGTTCAGTTGTACTTGTTATGGCAAAACCCCATGTGGTTTTTAAAATGCAACAGCACAGTATCACCTGAGCATTGACAAAATCTCTTAGACTTTCTTCACCTCATGCATTCATTTATATAAAATGTCATATAACAAGCAAGTCCCTCAACTAGGATTGCAAAATAAATTCAATTTCCCTGAAAAATCATCACCTGCAGAAAACCTGCAGAATTCTTATATGCCCAAATTTTACCATTGGAAAGCATTATCTGGCCTGATTATTTGGGATGGGGGTGGGGGGTGTAGAGAAAGAAATACTAACATTTCCAACATGAATTTGTATCTGCAGCAGCAATTCTGAAAACCAAGGGTGGACAGACTGGTGGAAAAATCTGCATAAAATGTACTTGGACCTTGCAAGTTAGATTTCAGACTTTTTATGTAGAACTTACAAACTAATTTTAGAGCTGGCCAGTTACTGGAAGTTGGTGCACTCCTCTAAATTCTTCAGAAAATCTGTGTTGCACATTTTAAGATGCAGCAATTTCTCTACTTAAGTGGATCCCCTATGAATGGAACTCCATAAAGGGAGTTCACTGCAAACCATTAGTGTGCCTTCCCCCGGATGATGTCTTTCTACTTCTAATGAGCTTTTACCTTCCTGGAAGTGATTTGTGCACTCGCAGTTTTCGCAGCAATACATCAGGAATGCTGGGCATGACATCAGAGCTATTCTTTGTCTCTTCCTCTTCAGTGGGGGAAGGGAGAGGTGAAGGGCCTAAAGACGTTTTCAGATAAAAAACTTTTAATGTTACTTGAAAAGTCATGCATTAAGTATTAACAGTCAGCATCTCAGAGCCAAACAGGACCTTTTAGCCTAACTGTGTCCTTTCTAAAGTCAATGAGGCTTTCACCCTAACTCTACTGGGAGCAAAAGTGAACAACAAGAAGAGGTCTCTCCCTTTGCCCAGACTGTGGCTTCCTTTATTGCATATGGTCATACATCACTCGTCTCTCCTTTACTGCTCATGTAAAGATCCCCTGTCCTCCTATGGAGCGGTGACAACAGAAGTAATCTGCACAACTGTCAGCCTTTATGGAGAAAGAGTGAAGTAATATGCACTCTGACAGTCTCTAATGACTGAAAAATAATTGTTGGATTAGTATTTTTCCTAGAATTCAAACTGAACCCAAATTCATTACTGGAACATCTAATTTAACATTTTGCATTGTGCTTTACCAGTACAGTTACATCATTCCTGGAATATTTTAGCTTAGATTTTGTAAGAGTGCTGTCATTTTCTAAGGCTTTAAATGCCACCTGCCAAGAAGAAGTCTTACATAATGTACTATACTACAGATTTTGTGCACCATTTATGGTGATGAATCTACAACATGCACTTGTTTGCACTGCATGTTCATTGAAACAGGACAGAACGGTTCAAATTACATTCTCTACTTCTGCCACTTTCATAAGGACCAAGACATGGCGCAGACATATTTTTTAAAAATTCATATTACTTTTAAATTTTATTTCATTTCGTATATAGTAATTCCCTTATCTCCTTCTATCTTGCCAGAATTTCATGGACTCTCCTATAGGAAAGTCAGGTTCCCCAGTCTGAATGTCAGACTTGGGAATATATCTTTGTACAGCTCTCCTGTTCGTTTGGAGTAACAAAATGATTCTTAGACTTGAAAAACAAATAGTGTGAAAAAGCTCAAATTTTGTAAATGTGGAGAATGTTAACTTGAAAGACAGAAAAGAATGGGAGATTTTCAAGCTACATTTTAGTTCTGTGCATTTCCTTTATATTCAGAAGTTATAGTACTTAAGAACACTCATGTGCATCCCCCTAAAAAGCCAGCCTGACACCACAGTGTCTCCAGATCTAACATATCCCACTTATCTAAACTTCTGTAGATGCTAAGTTGTATTTACCCAGATGATCACAATAACTTGGCATTGACAGCAAAATATGATGGAGCCAGTAGATTTGATTCATAACAATAATAATGAAGTATCTGGCTACTTCCTATTGTTTAAGCAAATTTACTACTCCAGTTAAAAAGCACAGGGTGGCTTTTACGACAATGTAAGGAAGTAAGGCTCCCTAACAAATGAACTAATTATTTGACCTCTCACTTGTTTTCCTTTCTGAGGACACAGAGTTGACGCTTAATGTTCTGGCTACCATTTAGATAAGTTACTAGACTTTAAAAAGCTTGTGATGCTCACGAGATCTTGGTTGAAAACCTGGATAAAACGCTTAGCTTGTCATAAAGTTTTCCTTAAAAGTTTCAAATTTGTCAAAATTATGTAACAGGCTGGTAAAATGGCAACTATTTTACACTTTCTAACAGAGCCTGCTAAATAATTTCTGAGAAATTACATATTAGCAGAGTGACAGGAATAATATTACCATATCTAAGAATCCAAAGATAAAATCACTAGACAGAGGACAAGAAGTGTCTTTTAATCTTGTTTCATCCAGACAGAAGATGAGTCTGCACAGATAACATGAAATGTAATATCTCAGCCATCTCCTTGTGTAACAGAAACTTTAAGGCCTTATGAAAGAGTCCCAAAGCAAATCTATGAATTAGTAAAACAAACAGTATTAGGAAAAAGGGAAATTGAGTTTGGATCAAATCTTGGACAATCAGTTTCAGCTCCTTTCGTATTAACCATCTCCATTTCAGTTAATGTGGCCTTACAAACAGTCTGAACAAGTTCTGACTGCACTACTTCCAAACAAATATATAGTTTTGGTTTAAATATTTTCAATTGGTTGCTCAGCACTACTGCTATTTAGCTCTTCCCGTTGTTGAATTGTCCTCAGGATTGTATCTTTGCTCTTTATTTCTATTCTGAATCTTTTTAGATGCAGCCTACAGGCATCAAACCTCATTTACTTGTGTCAGATTGGAAAAAAACATTTTGTGCCAGATTTCTGTTTCCTCATTTATGTAGAGTTTTAAGCTGTTTTCTTATTAAAAATCATAGAAATTGAGCTAAAAAAGCCCACTCACAGAATATGCAAGGCATATTTTTCCAATCCTTCAGTCATATTTATGTCTCTTCTCTGGCCTTACTCTTACCTATCCACATTGATGTAGAGCTGCAGACCAGAAGTTAACATGCCAGTTCAATATTTGCCACAGGTATACTAAAACAAAAAAGCAGGAATAATGCATTCCATCTCTTATTTATACTTTCAAGGATCAAATTCAGCCTTGTGGCCACAATATCTGGCAGAGGTCACATCCATTCAATCCATCACTGCTGTAACTTTTTTTCAGAGTCACTGGAAGGTGAGACAGTCCTCCAGCTCTTAAGCTAGGCTCTGTACCAGGTATGCATCTTTTCGTTTGGTTGCAACAACACCTACAATATCTTCTTGACTCAGATCATCAAGAAATTCAGGTACTTCCATTATCAGTCTCTCTTATTGATCATTTACTACCCTCTGTGACTGTCTCATTACAACTACCATTGCAATTGAAGAAAAAGACTTTGTTTCTTCCTCCATAGTAGTCAATTATAAAAATTAGTGTATAACAAACATACACTCCTTCCAGCTTTTATGATACTGCACCTTTTTCCTGTTCAGCTGCTTCACTAAGTTCAGGAAGTTTAAGTCCAACTAAATTTTGATTTCTCATCAAAATATGCTCCTGTTAAGAAAAACAGTAACATTTTAAAGTAACTTAACTAGAAATCTCAATTTAAATATTCTTGCCATGTGAACACTACATATAACATTAACTGTAGTTAATAAACATAATGGAAATATTTATATTAAGTTATAGTCATATGGTACATTGCGTAGATACATGTACATTCACACACACACTTAAATTTCATACATGCATTATTTAGAAGAATTCCTGGTCTTGCAAACAGAGATTTGCAACATGTGCCCCATTCTGCAACATGCTGAGTTTTGGTAAATGAGAGTTTTAGTAAATGACAGTGAAAAAAGTGTGATTTTGGGTAGAGGCATAGTAATAAGTAAGTATCCCAGAAAGGAGAGAGAATTCAGAAATCGCGTGAGACTTTGCTGCTTTCACTTACTCAGCAGAAGTTACTCACACCGAAGCTTGGCATGCTTCAGCTGCAAGTTAATGCTTCACTGTTACTGTGCTCTGCCTCTCTTCCTTGCAGGTAAAGAAGAATGTATTCTCAAGGATTAAACCTTGTTACCTTATTTCTCCTTCTATCATCTCCTTATTTTCTACTTTCATATTCTCAGACAGGTTTAAATTCACAAATGCCTGCTTTTGTTTATAAATAGATAATCCCCATTGAAGACAGAGTTTAAACCTCACCTAACACTGGAATTCTATATCAGGTATTAATTTTCTGATTCTAACTACTATTTGTCCTTAACAACTTCTAGAACTTTTAAAATTATATGGCTCAAGTGTCTATAATCAAAACTTGCAGTACATATATGCTAATGATATGTGTTATATAAGCACTGCTGCCATTCCCAAGCAACACAGTGGGAATGAATTAACCAAAGTACAAAATTTGAGGTCCTCACCCCTCAGTTCTGTGTTCACCTTAAAATATTAACTACTGGAGGTCAAAGAAAATATTCTTATTAGGCTATTAACTATTACCTTCTTTTTTTTCCCCCTTTCAAAGGTCATTTTTGCTATACACACATAGCAGTTGCTTTATGATGGTGGTTTATAATTCCATGACATTTCTACTTTTTTCAATATACTGGTTAATTCTTAGGGTTTAATTCTTATTTTTTACCAACCAGTTAGACAATTATTTAACAATGGATTAGTTTATAGATTTTGCAAGCCTATCCTTCAAGAAGCTGACAGATCTGCGTCACGTTAGAATTAGGAACTCTAAGTCTGGCCATCCTCTACCCGCCCTAGCTCTCAGACACACCCACTTGTAGAACTCTAGTCACTTTGAGACATTTTCTGAGAATGTTCAATAAGTAAAAAAATCACATCAAAACAACGTTGAGACCTTGCAAATGTAATGTTATTGCAAAGGCTATCATTCTTGAGTGACAGGACTACTGACCTTAGAGGGGAGCATACCAAGCAATACAGGACTCAAACACTCAGCTGAACAATGTAAAAGTGATTTTGAAATCCAAAGAAAGTTTACAAATAGTATATGATACGCAGAGGCTTGTAAGCCCTTAAACAAGAGTATAGTAACCATTTCCAAACTTCAGTTAAAGATTTTTGTTTATACACAGGTCTCAGCCCACTCAAACAGAAATCAGTCAGTCAATATATTGTGAGAGCCTGTGGATCTGAGGACAATTCCAACGGAGCAGAAAAAGCATCTCACAGGGAAGCAAAGGAAGTAAAAGAGCATAAGTGACCCTTTTAAAGAGAATGTTGTTACATCCTGAGGAAGGAAGGTTTCTTCAGATGTAAGATTCTCTCCAGAAGTCAAAATAAATCACTTCAGTCCCAAGTACATTTTACAAGATACATGATTGTTAATCAACTGATTCCTGTTTATGGGTAACAGAAACGAGGCAAAAAGAAGATATATTGTGTTTTATACTCACCTTTCTGTCACAACTAAAGCAACTAGTACTGTCTTGACACCACTTTTACAATTTTTTTCAGGGGGCCAAAACCTGCACATGCACATACTGAAGATACCACAGTGCAGTTGATGCATATAAAAAGAGAACTAAGAAACAGAATAATTCCATGGAATTTAGTTACAGGTTACAATTTACTAAAGTTGCAAAATAAAAACATGATACAATTCTGTACTGATTTTGCAGAAACTGTTTACCTTTATATTACTGTGTGTTTCTTGCAATGATAAAAATAATGCTAAGCAAGTTAAAAGTCGAGTAAGATATGAAAATAACTTTAACACAGGATAAAACTTATGCCTAGGACTCACCTCTCTGAGCTTTGTCAGTTTCTGCATTCGAACTGGTTGAACTTGGATTTGAAGGTCTTTGAATGCTTTTAATTGATTGTTAGATTTATTACCACCAACAAAGCTTTTATCTTCCTCGGACGGTAATTTTAAGGGTGTTTTATCCTTCTGTCCAGGCTCCAGGCTATCCCATGATACAGCCCGTAGTAGAGGAGGACGCAGTCCACACAGTTTAAATTCTGGTTTACATGAAACCTTATGGTCCCTCATTTCTGAAACAGGAATTTTTAGCTTTGAGTCTATATTTCCTATTCCTGGTCCTGGTAGGTGGGTTCTTAAAGGAACATCATTTTCTTTTGCTTTCTTGAGGAATGATTTTCCAAGTTCATTTTCACAAACATTCATGCAAGTGTTAAGAGACATTCTGCCACCATCACCACCTGAAGGGGAGCATTTAGGTAAAGTGTCCATATGTTTACATGGATCAAAGTTTTCTTTTTGTTCTGAGAGCTTCTCTTTGGAATTTTCAAAACCAGCAGAACGAGGAACCAACCTTCCCTGAGAAATCTTTCTTTGATCATTTTGCCTTCTATCAATTAATCCTTTTGCAGCATTCTGTAAGTAGAGGGAGACATAAAACAGAGAAACAAGTGCAGATTTCTCTTCTCCCCTGCCCAAGGACAGTCACTGTAAACAAGCCATTTGCTTTTCAGTGACATTCGCTTTTAAACGTGTACTGTTGATGACAGCAGTAATGTTTAAAAGGCACTCAGAAGAACACTGAACTGGGAATCTCTTCTCTGAACTTCTGAGATAACTTCCTCCCATTCCAGAGTCCGTTATAGCAATCCTCAAACAGCCATGTTTCTCATCATCTTTATGTAAGGTTTGTCTGAGTACACACCTTTAACGCTGTATCTTAGAGCACTGTGATTTTCGTTTGATTGTTTTCTGTTAGCCCCTCACCTCCCAAGGGAAAAAACCCCATGAGCTTATAAACTAAGTTAAAGCATGTATTGTAATTTCTCTCTCCTTTCTTTGTGTCAGTACCATAGATTATAATTTGGCTGCAATCTCTACAGGAGAACTGGCAGAAGAATGCCTTATCTTGGCTACTTTGGTACAAAATCTCTATTTTGTCTGAGGGCAATTTAAGGCAATCCACATACAATCTAACTGTGGGCTCTGCCTTAGTTATGTTCCTACTCCTCTCCTTTATAGTTACTGCTACAAAATTATGCTGCCATGGTGTTTTTTCTAAGTATTGTCTAATCTACTCACAGCAACATCTCTTTAAAGGGCCATCTGATATTACCTAAAACAAATTATGAAGTACTCATATCAACTGCTCCACCCTTCATTGTGTGGAGCAGTAACGTCCCAGCAGCGGTGTGAGGTACAGTAACCTCTTCCAGTGAGCCAAAGGGGCCTGGAAGATGCCTGTCTAAAACAGCAGCATACATCAAAGTGCCTGTAGGAGATATCTTTATGTTACTTATAAAGGTATATAGTATCTTGATCTTAACTGAGCTCAAGCAGGGCACACGATAGGTTGTAAAGGCTAGCTGTAAGCCCACTGTCTTCCACTACATTTGCACGTGCTTCACTATTTCTTAGAGCAGTATAATTTTTCTTTTCACTCAGTGAACAAGTCTTTTAGCCTTTCTAGTGACATAAATAACAGTCATACGTGTGCTAAGACAAACAGGAAGATTTTGTTCAACACAATGTGAAACACTTACTTCTGCAGTTTGCCTGCCATCCTCTTTCACAGTTCTGTTATTCTAGCAAAAAAGGAAGAAAAAAGTTGCCTTACAACGTTATCTTTCACATCCATGCTGCTAGATACAGATATTAATGGATGAACTTTGAATCTCTTAATTCTTACACTACTTGTCACATTTATTTACGAAGTCATTTTAAGGACTAGCTTTTTCCATAGATAGGATTATATTGGATCTTTTTCCATTCTCTACACTTAATAGCTCTCTATGATCCTTCAGTGCTTTTTACCTCATGGATTTTGTTTTCAGAGTAAACATTTATTAGTCCCTCACTCTGCAGAAAAAGCATATCAATAATCCAGTCTTGGGATACAAAATGATATTCAGAACATCCCATTTTCCTCAGGGACTAACAGGACAGCAGAGTGTAATACAGTACTGTAATAACCAGGTTACTGTGCAGACTAGTCTGCTCTTTCTTACCTGCCCTGGAGGTACTGACTCAACAGTAGTGGTTGTGCATGCATCAGACCCTAGAATGACACACACATAATTAGGGCATATCCTGATGTTTTGCTCAAAATTTTTACTGCTAGTACAACCTTAAACACATAAATGCACAGTTCCACACAATATATTAAGGACAAAATTTAAATGTGGGAACTACCACCTAAAAGGAAAGAAACATTATCTAAAATACAGTAAGTGAAAGATCATTAAAGCTTCTCAAAAGTCCATTATTGAAAAGAATAAAAAAATAGAACTTGTAACATAGCAGCACCACAGGAATAAAAACACAACATAAAAAATATATATACGTAAAAATATTTATTATGGGCATTCATGAACTTTGTCATATTCAGGATGAGATGCTTGAATCTACAGATTCTGACTTCTCAAGAAACATTAAAAAATAATTTTTGGTGAGCTTCATAATTTAAAGTTTGAACTTGCATAGATCATTTTACCTGATGGAACTGGAAGAGTGAGAGAGTTGCTCCGAGATGCTACTGGTGAAACTTTAGGACTAAGTGTAGGGGAAACTGCTTCATTAAAACAAAGACAAAAACAAACAAACAAACAAGGTAATTTTACTTTCTAGGCTTTCAGGTTCTGAATTTTAAAAATTCAGAAAAAGATTAAAACATGAAACTCATAGTCAGCCATGTATTTGTCCAGAACCTAACAAGTAATTTTAATTGCCAAGTTGTACTTGGCAAAAGGAATTTAGAGTAGGTTTTTTCTTGTAAACCTGCCATAAACTAACACAATTCTGTTCATTGACAGAATCCTTATTCTCCTCAGTTTTCTGATACTGTAAGCACTGCAGAGAAGTAGAGACAAGAGAAGGATTCACAAGGAATGCAGAAGAAAAAAAAAGGAAAATTTATTTTTTGAAAGTATAGTAGTTTTTGTGTCAGGCCAGTTTTAAGATAAAACTTTATTCTGAATTGGCATTTCAAAGCTAAATAAAATGCCCGCTTCATGATAAAATGGCATTCTGTCCTAGTTTTGAGGGGGAAAAATTTTCAACTGATATTCTAGAACAAAACCTTTTATTCTGCTGTTTTTACAGGAGGATCCGGTCCATTTAGCTTAGTTTATGACTATGTTCAAAATAAAAGTCTGTAATTATGTCTAGGGAGAATGTTTTTTCAGTAGGATGAATTTTGCCATTAAAATTTTATGTTTAACAGGAACTTTAGGGAAAATATCTTCACAAACAGAAATTTGTGACCATTTTTTAGATTTTAATAGACAGACTTCATGCTTTACTGTTACAGTGTCTGCAGTGTGTCAAATTAACCTTCAAATTAATGAAATGTCTGTATACAGTAGCAATGTATGCATTACAGTAGATGCTTGTTTGTGTCTCTGTAGATCTTTGAAACTTAATATAAAATCTTGTTTTCAGAATCTCCACCTACCTGTGGGTGACTCTGGAAGACTGCTTCTTGACTTTCTGCCTCTGCGCATTAGAAACCTCTCACTTACTTTCTTTGCTTCTTCTAGTAATTCAAGGTTCTTCTTTTTGTCTTCCTCCGATATTTTGACATCTGGTAGCTGATCATTTACCAGATCAATCACATGACCGCTGTTGTCTGGGTAGAAAATGTCAGAATTAGAGTGGTATGTCATATTTCCAGATATGTTGTGGCATTTCAGAGTAACGTGTACAAAGAGTATCTATAAATTCAGCTGTGAGCTTGCATTTAGCAAACATTGTCTGCTCATTTCTAATGTTGTTCTATGCTCAAGTTTAGAGCAAGTCCTCAAAAACATAGATAACCCACTGAGATTAAGTAACTATGATCAAAGCTGCTCTGATATGTGAAACTGGCTTTTCTGGCTGTGTTCCCAGTACCGTTTTTCTAATTTATCAGTAAAAGTAGCATTGGATCCATCTGAACCAGCACTCATGCCATTTCTGTTGTAGATTCAGTTTTTGTCATGGATTTTGTATGTCCAGTTTTTCAAGGCTAAGGTCCCACAAACTCACCTGGCAAAGATATATGCATGCTAGTTTGACCATACAGGTGATTCCATCAAATAATCTATAGAGTGTGGAGTTTGGAAGTATACAGATTTTATTCTATGCAGATAGAAGGGTTTTTACCACAAACATGGAAGCAACAGTAAAGCTGAATCTTCCCTAGATCCGTCTGCATGTAAATCCACTTATAAACTCATGATCACAACCCGAGATGCCAGCAGTATTCCCTGTGCACACATTACAAACAGTGAGCCCAAGCAAAAAGCTGTGGTCGGTACAGTCAAGAGTCTACATTTATATGTTTATATAGTCTATATCTATATAGTTATTATCAGAGTCTTTATTGCATGTCGCATTTTCTGAGAAAAAAATCCTAACTTAAATGAATAATCACTTCTTACCAACAGAAGTCAACGAACTTGCTGGATTCCTAGTGGCACGGTTAGAATGTCTCCTATGAGGACTACGAGGCCTAAGAGAGAAAAATGAACAAACAAAAATTATGGGAGTATGTCACCAAAAAAAAATACTTCTCTATAAAAATGCAGCATTAAAAAGAAATCACTTTTCTTTGATTAAAAAAATGAAAACAAAAAAGTTTTATTGCAATTTCTCTCTTCTCCAAACAACTAGAAAATGGAGGAAGATTGCAGAAAGTTTTAGTCCAAATTATGCAAAACTGTAATTTGTATTTTTGTTTTACTTTCAAATTATGCTATTCTGAAAGATTAGAAAGTTCATGAAAATTTTAAGCATATTGAGTCACGCTGACAGGCTTAATATTATATGAAATTCTACTCTTTTAGTAACAATTATATTCCTGTGTCCTGCCCCACACTCCTTGCATGCATTCAAAAAAGCATCATCAAAATGCAAAGACAATATGATCAAATTACAAATAGAGATACAGCAATAATATTTTAATGCAATATACATTTCAACTCAGTATTTTATAAACACAGCTCCTGGAATTACTGCACAATTTATACGTAGATTGGTAATGTATTATACGGTACCTGTTAACCAGATTTTTATCAATTTCTACATCTGGCGTAACAGCATTCTCTGGGAGAACAATAGAAGGTGTACTGCATGATGTTCCTTCAACAGTAGTGTCCTGAATGGTTTGTGACAAAGATAAAAATGTAGTTAAACAGAAATCAGAAACATTAAATATTGATACTCTATGTGGAAAATAATGTGTATTGCTCAGTTTAGCTAAAAGAGAAAATAACTGAACTAAGTGAGAATTAGCTCTTACTTGATAAAGTGAATTAGAAGCCCATACTTAAACTAATAGAGATGATGGAGACCTGGAATATCTGTTTTCTTTACAAATTTTCAATGCACGCAGACTAAATTCAATAAGCATGGAACTAATGAGAAAGCTTTAAAATTATAGACAAAATTCTTTTTCACACAGCAAACCATTGCTCTACTGAAATACAACACAGTGAACTTGTGAGCTGAAGGCAAGACTGAGAAGCAGCTGTTTAAGAGGGCTAAATCAGGCACACAAAACCTCCAAACGGTATTCGTTCGCAGTTAAAGCTTGAATAAATGCAGGATTAAGTGCACAGATGCTATCCAAAAAACCAGAAAATAATTATAAGGTTATCTTGTTAGTGTTGTACTTAGTTTTCCTTCCCATTAACGGGAAAAATATATTTTTTTTAAAAATAACTTCAATATTTAATAAAATACAGTATCATTTCTAAGTGGCAAAAGAAAGTGGCAGTGAATATCAATGTATGCTTGTCATCTTAAAAAAATATGAGAACTTGTCCTGAAAACTTAACCCCACAGCTTCTACCACAATGATGCCAATCAGCTGAAGAGAAGGAATCTGTTTCCTGTGAGATATCCCAAATGGAGGTGCATCAAGGTGGAATAAAGAACTGTGGATTTCTCATATGTAGTGAAAAAATGATTACTCATACCTTATCTACTACATTCAGAATCACCAACACCCCCCACCTCCCCCCCAACAAAATGCCCCTCTACTGTTGAAAGTCTACATAAGCAAAGTGGTGTTTAAAGTCAATGAAGATTCACATAAAATCATGAAGAGGGGGGAAAGGTAGGCACCTGTTAAAAGTTGTGATTTTTATTTAAGAGTACAATCATGAGATGAGTAGAAGATATCACAGCACTGTATTTATAGCTGGAGGGAAGGCTTCCCAAAAGGGGCAGGCGACTGCCATCAACCAACTTGCAAAATTTAAAGAATAATTTGTAAATTCTCAAATCCTAATTGCTTCTGTTAGGCACTGGTATGTACAAGTATTTTATTTAGTTATTTGAAATCTCAATTTTTCTTGAAACTGCATCCCAAAATTTCATAAGAAATTTTTATGTTAGTTGGCACTGGATTAGAGACTAGACTAGAACAGACTAGAATATTTTTGGTTGGAAAGGACTCACAAGGATCACCTAGTCCAACTGTCTGACCAGTTCAGGACTGACCAGACACCTTTACAACACGGACAGGCCGAGGGCACTGACCACCTCTAGGAAGTGATGCTTCTGAATTTTCTAAAAGCTCACGCTTGCTATCCATGGCACAAAGCCATTACATTCAAGTGTTATAAACATCATTTTGCCTTTACTGAAATAGCGTTTGTTGTCAATTTTGCTTACTCCTTTTAAGAATGTTTACCTACTAGAGGTGACACACATGTAATGAATTCAGGTAACATTTCTGTTAGTAACATTCATTAAATAAGCAGGTAATAAAAAGCTGTTATAAAAGCCTAATTTAGGCATTTACAGAAAGATGCACATGATAGCTCACAGTTTAACAAGTCAGCATTTTAGACCAGTGAAAATTATATCCTTTCAATAAATGTTTCAGTCATTTACTGTCATGTGGAGAAATGAGCCTAGTCATAAGGTTTGTCACAATAAACAAGTAGCAAAGAGCATAAACTGAAATGGAATTACATACATCAGGAAAACTAAGTTACCTGACTGCTAATACCCATCAGATACAAATACTCTTTTCAACATTTCTCCCCGTGCTGCATTTTATTCTTGTTGAAATAATGTATTTTCTCATCAATTCAAAAAACTCTAGAAGCATTTTGAGAATGGTATAATATTAAAGCATAACCTTTCCTTCTCTCAAAGGCAATAGAATACACTTTGGTTTGGACATGTGTTTTAAGATGATTCTGTTGTAAATAGCTTTTTTTTTTTTTTTTACTAAAATAAATACATTCCATGCAGCTCCACACTTCTTACTCATAATTCTCAATATGATGTTTCCTCAGCAAGTTCACACTGTCAGTCACACGAGAACAGGTTGGGAAACATGCCGAGAAAATAATATGAAGATTTAAGTTTAAGGAAAATATCTTTGTAATACTGGAAATGTTAGAATGTAAAAGCATGATATATTATGTGATTCAAGTACACAGCTGACATTGTATGATAATAGTTTGAAAGCCATTTATAGTAGTATTGAAAATGCTCCAAAGTAATGATCTATTCTAACAGTGAATGACAAAAATTCAGGTGACTGACCTGCTTGTAGAGCAAAGCAGCTGAGTACACACACACATTGTTTATACTAATCTCATGACTGCCAAAGAGCAAAAGCTTTTCAATGATGTAACATCAGCATTAAAGTCACTCAAGTCCATTTTAGGACTCTAAAACCAGCTCATTGAAAAGAAAAAAAAAATAAAATGAAAAGAAAAAGGCTGTAGCCAAGACTAGTTCAGGTCAGGTAAAACACATTAATTGTGGTCAGCAGCTATAGCAGTTCAACTTCTTTCAGGTGAAAATTCGTGCCTCCTGTTGTCCAAACCCACTGTACATTTGTACGAGAGGGGCAGGAAGAGCTGGAGCATGAAGTACTCGGGGGGGCCAGCTGGCTTCAATCAAAAGAAATCTTTCTACTCTGAAGAGGGCTCAGGCTGCTCTGTGCAGACCTTGGAAGAGAGCTTTGACAGGAAGCTTCAGTTGTCTCACGTCTGCACAAAGATGATACAGAAGTTTTCCATCCCCCTCCCCTTGCCTGCCTGTAACTGCCCTCTCTGTGTCAGCCTCCAGGCCAGTCTGCTCTTCGGCTAGTCCCAACATCTGGGACCAGCCGCCGCCTGCTTCCTTGTTGTCCCAAAGCCCTCCTCCTGTGCCAGTCTCCAGCCCTATGGCTCAGGTGGGACCTGACGCCCGTGCTCTACAGAGATGATGTGCTGTCTCGCCTTGCAGGGAGGCTTGCGCAGGGCTGAGCGACGGCACATGCGGGCTGGTCCGTAACAGGAGACCCAGGAGGCTTCGGGGACACTCAGGGCGGGCAGGATCTGCCGACGTTCCGGCTGTTCAGCTCTACCAAGCCCTCACTAAGCATACAGAAAATGCGTTTTAGAGGTTTTGTAATCTTGCCAAATTTGAATGGATTTGAACAGTAATGGGGAAAAAAAAAAATATCTCTGCTAAAAGAGCTACCCTGCCAGGGTGGTCAGATGATAAAGCTTTACTGTACACCACCTGAATTCTTTAAAGCGTTGGGAAAAAAAAAAAAAAATCCTCTGCCACCTGGCTGTATTCTTAGAAATTAATTAAAATTCTGGACTAAATTTCAGAACAAATTTGGCCTGAAACAGATACTTACGTGAAAAGCCTCAGAAAAGTTATGCATCTGAGAGCGCAGTCTTTTGAGTGAGATGGGTTTTTAAATAATCTTAATTTTAGATGTTTAAGTGAAGTGCTGAGTTTAGGGCTTAGCAAGTAAGGTAATGAAATTCAGCTGTAATTGCGTCTAGCTGAAGTAGACAGAAAAACAAGTAAACATAGGACACCAGAACAAAACAGATAACATGCAGTGATTCAATAAAAACACAACACAAATTTACATAGGAATAATAAAAAAGAGAAATGCAGAAGCTTGAATAGTGGAATAATCAGTGTATGAGAAACATTATGAACATCTGAAATGGACTTTTGCTCAGCAGTCAGAAGAGCCAGTAAAATAGTGTTCGGGATACAGAGAGAAGAGAAAGCTGGAAATAGAAATGGGGATCTTTGATTTAAAAGAGGGAGAGATGGCAGCTCACAACCAACCATGAAAGTGTAAGGACATTCATAGGCCACTACAGATCTTCACATAACTGCTAAGGGCGTAATTTTCTTTGCTGCAGGTACGTATTACATATATAGAAATTACATTTTAAATACTTAAAACCTGAAATCAGTTTTTAAAGACTATCTGTGAAAGCATGTTACATTATTCTGTGTGAAATAAATTAATCAAAATAAAATACAGAAATAACTAAAAATTATATGACTGCAGTTCTATGATTTATGGTGAGATAAATGATTCTGTATAAAACACTTCTAAAATGTTCAATACTTACCGTAAGAAGACAGCACACAAGCTAAGTTCAGCTGCATACTCTTTATTCAGACGTTTCAAAAGAGAGGTTTTAAAGTTCTCTGAATTAGGCTAACTGTCCTCACACCTCTGTTAATGGGAATTTCATATCTACTTCATTCAGGAACACAGAGCTAATGAACACTTCAGTGAATGCCGTCCCGAATTAGTCAGAATGGTGAATATAGGCTACTGTAAAAACATGCTACAATGGAAAGGCATATTTGTTTTCTCAAAATGAATTTGAGAAATATAACTCAGGTCATCCTATCATGTAAAAGATACTTGAAGCAAACAAGAAACTACATGTGATGTAATGTTCATTTTCTTTTTCTCATAACTATATTGTGATGCCCTCTCCTTGCTTGCAAGTCCTTATCTCACAATGATAAGCTATTTTTCTTATGACATAGTCATGCTGAGGAACTTGGACCGCAGCAAGACCCAAGAGTGATAACACGTATGAAGAAGATCAAATTCTCACAACACTGGCTAGTTGCAATCCTTTACTTAAGTAGGCTCACCAGCAGTGTGTTGATTAAATTCCTTCCACTGTGCCTAAAAATAACAATTTATCTAAAACAAATAATTTTGCACAGTTAACTGATTCATGAACTATCAGGTTATCATAGTTCATTTAAGGTCTACTTCTCAAAGGCCTATATAATGTATTAATTTTTTAAAATATATTTTTTTAGATTAGGTGGTTGGAAATTTTACTTTCTTCCATTTGACAAGCACATTCAGGATTAGATTCATTGATATCTGCTAGGGTTTTTTTTTGTTTTTTTTTTTTCCTCTTTGGGTATGTTTTACCCAGCAACTCTTTTGTACTAAAATACTCTCCATATGGGTCAGTTAAAAAAACAATAAAAATCTTCTTGACCCAATATATGTTCTCAGCTAACAGTCTGATTAACTTGCATCCATCTGGGGTGTTTATCTTAAGCCAGGAAACTAACACTCAGCACAATGTGCAGTTTAGATGGAATGCATGACAAATCAGCGAAGGGCTACTGCTGACAAAATTTTCCAACTATGTTAAAGTAGCGGATGTTTTCACCTAAAGTGTAGAATACAGTGTCCTCAAATCCAATGACAGTGATACATTTTTAATTGAGGATGTGCCAGATTATAAATCCTTTCTTTACACCAGTTTGCATAAAACAGGATGACTGGATAACCTGTGATTTTGTAATCACAGCAAGGTTCTTTATTTCAGCTAAACTAACAATTCAGAAAAAAACCCACTTTATTAGAACATAAAATTACTTTTTATCAGTGGTATAAATCATTCAAAAGGGAGAGGTATCATCTCTTAACGATTTTTTAAATTTACCTGCCAATAAAACATGTAAAAACATGTAGATGCCACAAATTGGAGTAGTAAAATGATGAATATGTCTGGGGAGCACCCACCTGCTCTCTGTATAGTTCCAGTATATGCTCACCTACTGCTGTGTCAATAAAGCACTGAGAAAGGCTACAAACCAAAAAAACCAGCTTTCCATCTTTCATGCTCATATGAATTGCACAGCATCATCTGTAAAGGCAACACTAGATGTTTCAAGACTATTATGAAGTATAAGCCTAAGTTATTTTCTCAAAGGTTGAAGTTTTCTGTAATAACACCACAAGAGACATTTTTGGATGGCTTTGATATAAATGGTAGAGAACAGACAGACATAGAAGCCTCCAGACCAAATTGATAAACAAGTGCTTGAGCAATTTCAGTTCTCATTGCATAGTCTATAAAATATTTGAAGAAATCTAAGAATATGAACTGAAAGATCTTCATAGCTTCATCAATTAATCAAAACACACTAATACACAGCAATAATTAGATTTTACTTTATAAACTCCTAAATACAAACAACCAGGTTTCAGCCTCAGGTTTCCAAAAAGTGTCAGAAAACACCTTTGTAAGATGCTTACTTTGGCTGGAGAACTGTGGTGGTGTGCCTCTTCTGATTGTCCCTTGCCTTCAGGTAAGGTTGGCATGGTGGACAGTGTGAAGCACGTGGAACTGCAACGTGGACTAACAGGACCACGCACTGCTGAGAAGATGTCTCAAGTTAGCCTGAAGCATAAGCACTGAAAAGCCTTGTGATCGGCAGGCTGTGTTAGATGCCAAAAATACAAACCAAATCTGTTTAAAACTCTATGCCCTAACACTGAGATCATTTTACAATAACAAACAGTATTAAGGTTTAAAATTAAAAATGCTCTCTTGTGTTTTATTAACCAAAGCTTTCAAGGTCAAGTATAACTTAGTAAACGCATTCAAAATGGACAGCCTTCCATTCTTGTTGCTATTTCCCTCTTTTCACTCAATTTTACAGGTTTTTTGTTACTATGACTGTTTTGGCTGTGACCAAACTACACTCTCTAAAAATCCTTTAAGAAGGACACAGCATCCTGGATATCTGTAACTCACTTTTAGTAACTAACAAAGTCCTACTGCTACAGACTGTGATCTCGGACCTCTAAGAAAGATGTAAAACTGGAAACCCAGATGGTGGAACTCTTCCTTTGAGCAAGAGCAAGGCCTGTGCGAATTGTGCAAAGACCTGGTGTACATCTGCACAAGACAACACGCTGCAAGACACCTCTGAAGCAAAACGGCAGTAATGCCCAAATGGAGAAAAAAAAATAAAATAAATCACTGCCTATTAGTTGAGAAAATCCTTGTTATTACTGTCAAGGGGAGCTACTGCCTTCACAAGGATATTATCAGCATTAAAGCCTGTACAGTAGTCTGAAGAGGAGTAATGTTAAGTACTAATCCTTATAGCTAGAGTGTGTATATTACAAGACTTACTATGACACCTACCGGATAGTTAAGGAACAGTCCTCAAAGAAATCATTCGATGCCTTGGTGGTGCCTATGGATGACAGACAATGCAGTTATCAGACAATCCGGTACACGGTTTCTGTCTGGACTAGTAAGAGCTAACTGTACTCCCTTCACAGTTAATTCACAGCTGTGTATAGAATGGAGCTATATACTCAAACAGTAGTATAACAACTTCAGTAGTGTGCCAAGGAGATAAATATACCCAAAAACATAGCTTCACCTTCCAAAACATGTTACCTTCTGCCAAACCTGAATTACTAATCTCATCTCAATTCTTTTACTCTTCTGGAAATCAAGATAGATGGAACAAATTGTTGAGATGGGGACATAATTTGAAGTTCAAGACACTTAGCAGCATTGTAAGATTAACCTTCCACAGTTTTTCCTTCCATTTCAGGGAAGGGCAAAGAAATGTATTCAGGAACATGTCTGTTTATCGAGGCTGACAATTAAAATTGTCAAAATACTTGCGTTGATTAAAAAAAAAAAAAGAAAAAAGAGAGACCATTCACAGGAAATACTGAAGCAGCCTCAGTAGTGACAAGTTCCTCACCTCAGCTTTCACAGAAAAAATTCCGTGTTGTAAAAACTACAGAATGTGTGAAAACTTTGGACTACAGAAGCAGCTAAGACTCATGCTTTTATTAGATTTATTTCACATTATATTGGAAACATAATTTTCTCTTCTACTAGAAGATGAATACAAGGCTACCTTGCATGAAATTTAATGCAGAACTAACAGACTGTAAAAGTTATCTCCACCCAAGTATTACTGTGTTCAGAAAAAAATCATTATTTCATTGAAGATCTTTGATAAAGACGGTGGAGAAGATGCAGCACACATGATATCATTATGAAGACCAAGATCAAGACTTTTTTTAAACAGTGAGCATAACTTTTTTCAGAGCAGTATATGCTGTAGGAGCAGCATGCTTCCAGCCTTTGTAGACATCTGAACCTGTTATGGGGAAATCTCTAGCTCTACTGCAATAAGTGGAAGCTCATGTTTGTATCATGATTTTACCCACCTCTGACTTCAAAGAAGTAGAGGAAGCTTTCTATGAACAAAAAGATTTTAAAATGTTTACTAAGGCAGAATATCTTTAAAGTCCCTAATATGATGGAAAACAGACATTTATTATTACATATATTTTAATAAACCCACAGAGATTAGGCAGACAGCAGTAGCATTAAACATCTGTGTGTTTCAAGTATTTTTGTATCACACAAATCAGCAGCTATTAACAACACATGAAGATGAGATAGAAATGAGAACTCAAAAAGTGACAAGGACTGCTTTTCATCTCATTCTCCTATGCAATTTCTGAGTTTGCAAGAATTCAAAGAAAAACAAAAAAGAGAAGATATAAATTTGGCTGTTTATCTAATCCCTCTTAGTGTTTGCTTTATGAATTTATAATGGTTCTGATAGGCTCAACTCAACAGAATGCTGGGCCTGAAAGATGAGGAATGTTTCAAGTCATGCCCAAAGTGTATTTGCAGTCCTATGTGGAGTTGTATAAGCTATTGCATCAAAGAGGTTCATTCCCAGTCCATACTAAAAGTAATGCAAGTCAGACAAACAAGAGCAAGCTATTAAGCCCATTACATCTCAGTTCATTTTTCAGACTTAAAAAGCAAAAAAACTTTAAAAGTAAAAAAATAATCTGCAGGCTTGTCTAAGAATAGAAACGGACAAATCCCAAGCTGTGTTGTCTTAGAGATGCAGCACAGAAAGTACAGCCAAGGGAGAACAGAGGATAGAAAGATGAATTTACACCACCTTAACAACCCCTGGATTTGCAGTGGACTGAATTCAGTACATCTCTGACACAATTAGAACCTTACTCTGACTTCCTCACAGAGCTATGTTGCAAATAGGAAAAAGCTCCAAATCTTTGTGGTGCTGATCAGTAGGAAAATTTCTTCTGACTCTCCATTTTTTCCTAACACCCATCTAGAAAACTGCAATGCTGAGGACTGTATTGGACCAGTGAATGCTTGTTTATTGTTATTCATATTCTGAAGCTTGTTAAAATAAATGCAGTCTTCACACACCTTGATTGCACTCTAAGGTGCCAAACTAACAGCTACTACTTATTGGTAGTTCAAAAAAATATGTAAGGACATAGTTCAATTCATGTGTTATATGATTTAGAACTCCTGGGTGATTATTTTTTCAGTCTAAAATCTTATTTTTAATCTGTGCAGTGTTCTTAAAATCAGCAATCCAGATCCAACCAAGGCTGCATAATGCTAACCAGCACAAACGTCACATCCTGTAAATGCAAATGGATATAGCCAATGGAGCCACCTTCTTGCTCCATGCGGTCCAAAGAGTTCTGTCATTTTCTGTATCAATTACTGCCTTCTGATACTAGTAGGAAAGGTTAAGGCTTAGAAATTATGGGACCTTAAGATATGAGTGAATAAATGTTCTTCTTTCATCACTACTATAGTGACCTTATGCCTATTTGATCGGGCAATGAAAATAGCCCCAGTAAATATCAATGAGAATCAAAACATACAGAAAAAAGGGGCTTCTTGAGAACACTCAACAATAATTAGAGCTTATCTATATCTCACAAATGTAGGAAGAAGAGAAAGAAATGGTTTTGGAAAAATTATTTCCCTGGAAAGTACATTTTTTTTCTTCTTCAGTAAAACATTAGGGAGGAGTACAGCCTTGGAACCCATAGAAATTTGCACCTCTATCTACAACAACAGCTCACAGCCTTGCTGAACCCTGAGCCAAGGTGCAGAGAGCATAACTATGCTGGTCCTAAGCTGGGCTCATCTGCCAGCTGAACAGCCTTTGGAACCATGTTGCCATTAGCTTTGCCAGCTTTATCTGTTTTCCACAAGCACAAACATGTTTCAGTCAAAGAAGGAAATGATATCTTAACAATACATGCAATACAGTGAGACACCAACTGAAACAACTGTAACTATTGTCCCTGAAGATACTGAAAGGACAGATTAAAAACCCCCAAACATTTGCACTTTAAAAACAGTCAAGGTGCATAAGCACATGTTAGCATCCTAGTCATTAAGATAATTGTTATTTCTTTTGTTAGGCATTGATCCAACTCTGTCTGGCCTACCTCTATCATATCAAAGGATGTAATGAGATTATTGTAGTGTTATAGCAGAGTAAATGATTCTCCCCCAAAATTCCAGTCTTTTAGAAATTGCAAGAGCTTCAAAATTACCTTTAAAGTTAAATACTTGTAGAGATTAACTCACATGTCACAAGAAGAGTGGATGTGGGCAAAGATGATCTACAATCTTAGTCTGCACAAGCCTTTTGCACCTACAGAATGAGTTAAAAACAAAACAAATTACCTATCTTATTCACTAGATTCTTCTTATTCCCACACTAAGATGAGACAATGTAAAGAAAAAGAGAAAGAATAAGAAAGATGAGAGAATGGAGTACTTTTTAGTGTTTTGGTCTGTTATTGTAAACTTACTGCTTAAAATAGTTAGGAAAAAAATGATCCCTGAGCTCAAATTTGTAGTCAGATATAGATCAGTGAATGCAGAGAACTTTCTTTTACCACTGTGTAGGCTTAGAGTACAATCTCCAGGAAATGGTGATCTGGGAGCTCTATTCCATAAAAGGGAAAAGTATTTAGAGGCCCTTGGCTTTCAGTGCCTTCTCTCTGCAACTCATTTTACCATAGTAGAGAAAGTTAAGTATAATCAGTTAACTTACCCTCTCTGAGTCACAGCTGAGTGCTCTGTTAGGGAAGGCTTAGATAAAGGTGCTTTACTCCATCTCCACTGATAGCTTGGCAGTTGACCTCAAATGCTCTGTCACGTCACAACAGGACATGTAAAAAAAAGCACAAATAAACCGTTAAGAAAGCATTTTATTAATATTTCCTGACCTTGTGCTGCCTGTGGTCAAGTCAAGCAACTCTCATTTATCAGTGGGAGTTACATATTCAGAAACACAGCCGAACTACAAAAAGCAGCACAGAATTGTGCAAATTCTTCTTTATTGTCCTGCAAAGTAGTTGTAAAATATTACTATACTAGAAAGGTATAGTTTTGTACTCCTTTTGTATAGCTGTTAAAGCATATGGAATTCATGTAGCGTTTTGGGTTAGGTTTTGCAGCTTTGAAGTACTTAAAAAACTCTATTTCATTCAAACTAAGCATGAGCAAACCCGTGTGTTTTTCATACGCTTCTACCACAGAATGTTTTCAAAAACAAAACATAGTTACGGTATTTAAAATATAAAAAGTTTGTTGGCATACATTAGCTATCTCAAAGAATGTTTAAAAACCCAAACAAACAAAAACTATAAAACCAGACCCAGAATATCTTTTAATAGAAAACCTTTAATATTTTGCACTAGGACTTCAAAATTTTTGTATAATGAAACATTTACTGGAAAAGAAAACAACCCAAACCCACAACTAAAGCTGACTCATTTACATTCTTACCCCGTGTGACAAGAGATGCTACATGGAAACTGGAAAACATTTTATTGTCTGCAACACAGAAAAGAATTGACTTTTCCTACTGTATCTAATTTTTATGACAAGAGAGGAGTTTCTCTTAAGTTTCTCTTTTTACTTAAGTTTGGAAGGTCAGTCAGTTTACCAAAACACACAGTAATAGCCCCAGGACTGGACCTTGTTCTCACCAACAAGGGGGGGGCTGGTGGGGAGTGTGAAGCTCAAGGGCAGCCTTGGCTGCAGTGACCATGAAATGGGGGAGTTCAATACCCTCGGGGCAGCGAGGAGGGCGCACAGCAAGCTCGCTGCCCTGGACTTCAGCAGAGTAGACTCAGGGCTCTTCAGGGATCTGCCTGGCAGGGTAACTGGAGATAAAGTCCCAGAGAGAAGAGGGGCCCAAGAAAGCTGGCTAATGTTCAGGGACCACCCCCTCCAAGCTCAGGAGTGATGCATCCCGACAAGGAGGATGTCAGGTAAAGCCACCAGGAGGCCAGCATGGCTGAAGGAGGAGCTCCTGGACAAACTCAAACACAAAAAAGAAGCCTACAGAGGGTGGAAGCAAGGACAGGTAGCCTGGGAGGGATACACAGAAACTGTCTGAGCAGCCAGGGATCAGGTTAGGAAAGTCCTGATAGGATTAAATCTGGCCAGGGATGTCAAGGGCAACCAAAAAAAGCTTTTACAGGTATGTTGGTGATAAAGGGAAGATAAGGAAAATGTGGGCCCTCTCTGGAAGGAAATGGGAGAGCTGGTTACCCAGGATATGAAGAAGGCTGAGGTACTCAGTGACTTCCCTGCCTCAGTCTTCACCAGCAAGGGCTCCAGCCACACCACCCAAATTGCAGAAGACAAAGGCAAGGACTGGGAGAATGAAGAATTTCCCACTGCAGGAGAAGACCACCTAAGGAACCTAAAGGTGCACAGGCCCACGGGACCTGGTGAGATGCATCCACAGGTCCTGAGGGAACTGGCAGATGAAGTGCCTAAACCACTATCCATTGCTGAGTTGTGACAGTCTGGCAAAGTTCCCACCGACTGGCAGACAGGGAACATAACCCCCACTTACAAAAAGGGAAAAAAGGAAGACCCAGGGAACTACCAGCATCATCTCTGTGCCCAGCAAGATCATGGAGTGGGTCCTCCTGGAAGATGTCCCTGCCTGTGGGATCTTTAAGGTCCCTTCCAACCCAAATCATTTTATGGTTCTCTGACTAATATAAGGTATCTTTGTGATAACTGTAATGATGCGAGAGGTGATGCTGGTCCGTTACCAACAAGACCAACTCCTACACCAAGGCATGTGGTTTGGCTACGTATCTAAAATTTTATGTCAGATTTTAAAGAACTGTAAAACCTCCCAGATTAATGGATAATATTTTCTGAGTGTTACATACTTAACTCAAATAGGATCTATTTTGGTCACAGCTTTAGGCTCTTTCCTGATACATTATGAGAAATATCAACTGGACTCGATTTCACTCACAGACAATTATTTTAACATAGTTAAATGGAAATTTAAGACTTACCAAAAGAGCATAACTCTATCTGAAAATAGCATTTTTTGCTGTTAAATTATTTTGTTTAGCAGTAGTTTGTTTTAGCAATAGTTACAATTTTTGCTTTCTTAGTGGTCAGTGTTTATGTTTACTTCTTTTGCAGCAAAGCAACCGAAGGAGCAGCTTACAATCTTTTTATTTTGCAAGAATTCCGGGCTGAATTTTATGCTGCAGACAATCAGCAAACAACTGAAGAAGGCACATAATTTTAGAAATAGCGAGGAGCAGTATTTCACTAACTTTTAATCTAACTACTAGATCCAGATTAAAAAAAGTTTTTCTTTTAAGGTAAGTATATTTTAGGCAGCCTGAGAGTTTCCCGATTCCACTTTTTTTAGGGGCAATTAGGAGTTAATATTACATGACTCAAACTTTTATAAGTTACACTGTTTTGGATGCTAAGACTTTGTTTCTAGTTTTTGTTTTTATTTAGCACTAAAATGAATTTAAGGAAATAAGATTATAAGTAGCATTACCTCCATGTGAAAAAAAAAAAAAGTTTTAAGAACTGTATACAAGTTCACAAAAGATGTGTTCTGGTTCATTTCAGGTTTTATTCATACTGGGGTTTTCTTTGAACAAATTGGCTTAAGCAAAACTCCAATAATGTAATTTTATCCAGTTGAGTATGTGCCTGAGATACTGGACCCAGCTCTCATATGGAAGGGACAGCCAGACAGAGTTACGGGATAGATCTGCGAGATTCTTGCAGCAGAGGCTCCTCTCCAGTCATGGCATTGGAAAAGCCAGGCATTCCCCACATTCCATGCTGGAGACAACAGGACAGCTGGGCAGGAGAACCAAAGGGCGGTCACACTTCCTCAGGGTTTGCAGACCTGAAAGCTTTTACCCATCTATTCCCCCTCTTCCAGTGGCTTGTGTCCAGCATGAACTACAGTTACATTAACTTAACTGGCAGCTGTTTCCAGGGTTAATATTCTCAACAGAGAACTCACATGGCCAAGGACTCTGTGGCAAAAGGGTCTTATCTACACAGTCGGTCTTATTCTTCTATTGCTCTCCAAGTATGCATGCATATTTCTTAGCCAAAAGCAAGAAACCTTCAGAAATGAGAAGAAACTGAAGTGAGTATGAAGCCATATGTCCAATCTTTCAAAGCATAGTAGTGAAAGACACCTATATATTTCACTGAGCTTCCTAAAGGTTTATGCTCAAATCCTTAGAGAAACCTCTCCAACAGTGAATCGGTTAGAGATTTAACATTTTAATTATGGTAGATCCTTTACCTCACAGGAAATTGTCTTTCAAAGCCACATAACAAACTTTGCTACTCGTGAAGAACAAAGTGCACAGGCATGCCAGATGCCAGACTAGGTCATGAAATAGTCATAACTGACTAACAGATCTTGCCATCCAGAATTTTTTAGATATGCCTCCTGCGTTTTAAATCTCAACTAATCATTCCTAAACAAATTTGCTTTTATCATTTCAACAATTCTTTCCCTTTCTTTGTGTAAAAAACACAAACCCACCACCACTCTACAATCCATAGAGAGCTGCTTCCATTAGTTCTGTTAACTTGTAACAAAGACTTTACTTCATCCTACTTCTCACTGACCTCATTTTTTTTTTTCCATCAGTGGGCTTTCAGCTAGAATGACAAGAACAAGCCAACAAGCAGCAGAGCTCTGCCAGATGGCCTCTAGGAAACCAGCTGGGCTGAACTTTGGAATACTTTAAAGTATATACATATATTTGGTGAAAAAGATAGTACATGTGATATTAAGGAAAATTTAGGCCCTGATTTATTCAGTATTATGCACAAGTTAAAGAATTCATCCTGCAGTAGCAAATCTGATGATCAGAAGACTCTCGGATCTCAAGGCAGAGTTGATATGTTTCTTAACTCACGGATTATTTTTGATAGACTTTAAGGAAATGCAGTTTAAAGGAAGAACGTGAACGTGGAGTGGGTGGATATCTAGCATAGAGAATAAGGTTTTCTAAGCATAAGGAACAGCATATAAGAAAGTGTGAAAAGTGGGAGAACAATACATTAAGTGTCATTGAGGAGGGTAGTTCAAAAGGAATCCAGAGCTAGGAAGTAACTGGAGAAAAACCTACTGTCTCCCAACATAAAGGCAGTGACCTTAAAATAGGGGAAAATCCAAAAAAGTTGAAAATGATGTGTGAGTAAAAAATGTTGCTCTCCTCCTCCTCCTGAACAGTTTACTATTTGAAAGAAACATGCACATTTGTTTAGGAGGCAGCACCAATCTCTGTTCCATGGTCCTGAAAGATCCCTCTGACGCAGGACCTGTGCACTGCCCAATTGCCCAACAGGTATTGCTAACGACAGTGGTATTAAAAAGACATGGAGATATTACCACCAGTCACGCACATTTTTGCCTAAATGAGCATCATGTACTCAGTAACAGAGTCATTTGGGTTTCTTTGTCTTTTACTCCTTCTCACAGATTTGGAGAAAGCTAGATACGTTTCTACTGTCTGGACTGAATGTATTATACATCACATTCTAGTTACATGTTTATTTTTGTCTATGATGTAGGTAGAGTTGGGAGCTCGAGACAACATTTTCTCAAATTGCCACTTGACTATATTCTTAGTTAGTGTATAAAGAGAACAAATTTGCTTGGGAGGAGAAAAGACAGATAAGATTGGGGAAAAAAACTGTGTCCCTTGGTGCCAATTTGTTCCTGTTTAAGAAAAACTTTAAGGTTGTTACATTTGTGACATGAAGTAGTATTTTCAAATGCAGTTTCTACATAAAAACATTCTATAAACTCTAGCTGGCCTGGATATCAACTT